TTAAGTAGTGTTTCTTAGCAGTCTGGCTTAGAAATACTAACATTTATGTGACCTCCTTCGCTCTTGTGTCATGAAGAATTTGAGTAATGCAGAATAGCAGAAAGAAAGCTGCTGGTTTGATTGATTGTGAGTTTGTTGGGTTTGGAAATGTGGAACCTTGTGCTATGAATAATTCCACCACCTAAAAGGCATTTTCCCCATGTCCAAGACCATAGCCAGTCATTTGAACCTGTGTCTAAGACCTCCGGATTGGTTAGTGATGACACCCATTTTTGTGAACTCTAACATTTAGAGGCTGCCGTCATGGTGAAGAGATGTTAGGAATTGAGAGAATAAGTATGCGCATTCTTCGCATCAAATTGTCCTGACCCCACTGGTCGAGAGTGAGCGATTCATTTCCTTGTTCTTTACAATCTTTACCTCGGTGAGGACCTAGATGGCTCGGTCTTGATTCTGATGTCTTGAGTTTTATGCATGAGTTGAATGTCTTGAGTAAGTGGTTGAGTCAAGTCTATGTTGGTTGATGAACAGAAGGGAGACTCCTCCTTTATTCGATTTTGCTGCACTCAAATGTCGTCTGTGGTGGTTGCCCAGGTTGCTATTGAAGTTGTTCATGTGTTGATGTTTGAAAGCCAGTATGATTCACATGTTTCTGTGCCTATATGATTTGTCCCCAATGTAGCCGTGTGGGATTGTGCGAGCCTTCACACGGGCAGACTGGAGATCCTACATGGCTGTGTGTCCCTGGCCGTGTAGGCAGCCTGAAGTCAAATTATTTGAAACGCCGCGTTTTGACTCACACGGGCATCTGGGTAAACCACACGGCCGTGTGGCCTGCCCGTGTGAGTTGGGTATTCTGGTTTTTACCCAATTTTGAGCCACAAGTGAGGGAATCGACTTTTCAGAGCAAAAATAGAGTTTTAGAGAGAGAAAGGGCGAAGAACAAACCCTGGGAGCTATTTGGAGTGGATTTCTCACCATTGAAGCCCAGATTGCGTTCCCAGGAGTGCAGATTGACATCCCAGAGCAGATTTTCCTCATCTTTATGAGTATGACTACTCTGATTTCTGTTTTCCTCTCTCTCTCTCTCTCTCTCTGGAGTAGAACCCTTCTCTCACTTGGGTATGAAGAACCCTAGTTCCATGTGTTAGGGATTTGATTGTAATGACATGGGATGATTATACTTTTTGGTTTTAATCGAATGATGCATGATTCATTCAATTGATTGAAGTTTGATCAGCTTTTCTTGATTTCTGCTGCAACCTGAGATAGATAGAATCTGATTAGGTTGTTAGAGCTTGACCATTCGGTAGTAGTGGATTGGTTATACGAGAGTTAGCCAGTCTACTGCTTTGTACTAGAATCCAATTCCAGTAGTGGAGTTCTGTGCTTATTGCATCAGCGTTCTATCCCGGTGAAGACTAGTCGTCTGCCGGGTAGTTAGACTGAGAGGGCTTGGTCAACTTAAGAGATTCCAAGCTACTGTTGGATCTTCCGCAGTCTAATCAACAGTAAATCAACCCAGGGTCATTACAATTGAGACCTAACTAAGGAGCTAGGGGGACTCATTCCCGAGTGACTCTTCTTTGCTTGAGAAAACCGAACCAATTCCTGTTTTCTTTCTGCTTTTAGTTAAGACAAAAACCAATCGAATTAGCCTGCTAGATAATAGATAATCACGTAGTAGGCAGTAGATCTAGACCCCGGGTTGATATTTAGAACTTGCCACTTTACTGCATTCCCGGACTGTGATTACACTTGGTCGCATTTTGGTGTTGTGTTTTGGCGTGTCACAATGCCAAAGCGAGTATGCTTCATCATGATTTCTGGCTACTCCATCACGTCTTGAGCCACGGGCGTCTCCCACAGCGTGGCAGGCCGGGTGCCTCATCGCGCCATTCTCACCAGTTTGGCCGACTCCTGCCCTATTCATGTTGGCTAGTTTCTTGTGTTGACCTTACACAACATCAACACTAGGTCGAACATCAGAGCACTTCATGGGGGCGCCTTTGTCACTTGCCTTGCTCGGCGCCTAGGATTTGATCCGGTGGCCATGGGGTGCACGCCTATGGGTCGTACCATCCCCCTCTCACTTAAGCATTGGCAGTCCATGATCAGGCAGGATCCACCTTCTACGTACTTCAACGAGGACACCACTATGATGCTCCCCCACCAGAGGTCCATTAGGCGGAGCAGCCGCTTGCATCGCCTCACCCTGCTCGCGCTCGTGAGCCCCGTCCACATCTGATGGTCCCGCCCGTTGGCCACTTGGACGCCCGCCTTGACCGCATTGAGTCCACCTAGGAGGATGACGAATGCCAGCCTGTCGGGGGCGACTATCTTGGCTCTGATTGATCCCACCACGGACTGCTGCTTTGTGTGTTTTGTTTCATTTTCAGACTCCGACTTCGAGTAATTTTTCTTTCGGATTGTGAACTTGGAACTCTAATATGTTTTCTCTATCACCTAGTGTGTTTTGATGACTCTAGCTCTATGCTTTTGGACCGGTCCCCTTCCATTCCCCTGCTCCTGACTAGTCTCCTCTCCAGTCGCCGCTTCCCGTCGTCACTTCCTGGTAACATCGTTCCCTTTCTCTTTTCCTCTGATCCATTGAGGGAATGTCTACCCTAAGTGTGGGTGGGTGCTTTGTGCTTATCAGGAATCTGTTTATGTGCTTGGAGCCTAGTCCACTGGCCAAATCTTGAGATTTGAGGGATCCAACCACTTATGTTTGCATGATCATATTGGCATTGTGATTTTGTTCGGTGAATCGATTGGCTGTTAGCATTGATGCGTGATAACTTGCTTGTGACTACGACAACCTATAATGATGACTGAGACGGCTGTAGAATTGTGTAGGGGTACAGTTTGTCAACTGCTTGCTTATCAACTGTGACTAGGATTAATCACTCATTTTCTACAGTCATTTATGCATCTGGTTCAGGGAATCAGAATGAGAGATAGAGCATATAGGTAGCCATATGAGATTTAAGCCTGCTCAATTCGTTCTTGTGCGATAGATCCCTCTTCCATGATGGGTAGCATTCACGTTGGCACTAATTAGGACGATAGAGGCATAGGATTAGCCCATGACCAAATTGACTGTCCTGGTGTGTCATACCCCTTCGTCATCCCCTTTGAGTCGTGTAACTTTCTTTCTTTCTTTCAATCTACAATAAAAAATCACCCATATGCATCTATTTGAGGTTCCACAGAGTGGTTTGTGCATGTTTTCTGCTTTAAATAAGATGAGGGTTGGAGGTAGTCCTTAAAATCTGGGCATGTGTTTGCAACTTGCAAGGATAAAAGAATGTGTAGAAGTGGTGGTTCAGGATAAAAAATCATAATCTTGCCCATTAAATAGTGGTTCAGGATAAGTTAATAAATACTTTCAATTCATGCCTAAAGTAGAACAACTTATAGCCTCTTCATAATAAGTTCATAAACATAAATATCAACAATAAGTCGTTGTCCCCTCTATGCTAATGAATTTGGGAAGAGCCTAGCTGGTAAATTAGATTACTCTATTGAAACTGAAATGTTCAAGTACCATATGTATAATATTATTGGTAATTTACCTTTAATTTCATGAAAATAATACCTATTTAGTGATCTAAAAGCGTAAAAACATAAAGCGTTTTGGTGACCTAGAAGCGTAAAAACGTAAGCTTTTAAGGTTTAAAGCGCAATTTAGTCCGATTTTATACACTTAAGTTTTTATATGGAAACGAAAGCGTTTTGCTGACCTGAAAGCGTAAAATCGTAAGTTCTTAAGTTTTAAAACGTGATTTTGACTGCATTGATTCTAGGATAAAAATATTAGCCCCATATAGTATGAAAATACATAATTTTGAGCTCGTTATGACAAATTATTTGAATGCACAAACAATGATTTCTATAAGTCAATCATGCCGAAACTAATTAGATATTATTGGTCTTATTCCCCCACATGATTCTTGATGATAAATCATATAATATAAAAATCTACTAAACAATAAAGGGCTATAGTAGGGGAAAATTAGAGGATACCCTTCTTCCATGTTTTTGGCAAAAGTTCGTCAAGAGTTTTGAGTGATTAAGGTAACCTACTGAAGAAATTTTTTTTCTGGTGTGGGCGGTCAGGTTTAGTCACAACCATAAGTCATACGAGTAGTTTCGTAGTGTGATGAAGGAAGAGAGGAAGAAAAGTGGAGTGGTGTGGTGTGTTTTGTAAAGGAAGAAGGGAGAGGGGTTATTTATAAGATTTTTTGGGGTGAGGAGTTTGCTTGACAACTAAGCACCGAACAGATCGCGGCCGAAGGAAGCTGATAAGGCCGTATTATCCTCCTCTTATCACCCAAACCACTAAGGACAAGTCAATCACTACCTTCCTCTCCTACATAATCAAGCCTCCATTTCCATCTAACCCATGTATAAAAATATGAGCCAATGATAATTACACCTCATATTCCTCATCCCATGGTTGGGTAATAACTAACAAGTCTCTACCTTTTCAGCTAGTTGTGCTTCTTTATTTACTTGGATGGGTGGAGAGTTTACCATCCAAAATAATCCCATCACACCACATTTCGACTTTCCACTTCCTCTTTTCACGTGTATGAAGAGTGGAAGGTGTGGCAAGGCCACTTATCATCTCCTTTAAGCAAACACACCTACATGCCCATGCAATTTATTTCTTACACATAATACATGAGGTATTAAAAGTGGTTGGGTTGAGATCATATATTGCCTCCAACAGCTCACTCCCTTTTAACCCAGTCATTTACTCATGGAGAAGTGATATAAGATCCAAGTTTTACCCTCTCAACCAATTAATTCTTTTAGTTACATATTTTCCACTCAAATTACGCAATACCATAATTGCGCACGTGGAAAAGAAAGAAGGTATTGAAACTTCTTTTCCCCATTTTTGTGTTAGTTTGTTGAGTATAACTTTTATTGTGCTAGTGGGCATAAAAATGGTACATGAGTTTCTCTACCTCCAACCAATGTGAGTTTCTTAACCTTTGTTTAATTCATTAATTCATTTAATTATTATTTTTTATTCACAACCAATAAAGAATATGCCATCCAATCAGGAGAAGGAGCTACCTATATATAGGATGCTCATTATGCTTTCTTGGCATCCCGTCTCAAATTCAGAGAACACACTTTCTCATAAATAGATGGGAAAAGGGAATTCCCGATGAACTATTTCTTGGTAAATGGGCTATTTCCAACCACAAAATTTTTCTCTCTTCATCTATAGAGTCGGCTCAATACGTTGCTTGATATTCCCAAGCACTGACTTGAGCTTTGGAGAAGGCCCCAACCGACAACAACCGACGAGTCCTTGTTTGCAGGTGTTCATCTCGAGAGCTGGAATCCATCGACAATCCAAAGGTCAACACTCTATGGACTCTACAAAGTTTGAGGTAGGCTATTTTAGCTTGGCATCAACACAAGAGACCAACGACTGTTTTCCATATAGAACAGCGATCCGCGTTTGACACGCTACGACACAAAACCAAACTGCGACCAAGTGTAATCGTAGTCCAGGAATGCAGTAATGTGGCAAGTTCTAATTATCAACCCGGGGTCTAGATCTACTGCCTACTCCGCGTTTATCTGTAATCTAGCAAACTAAGTCGATTGATTGTTGTTTTAACTAAAAGCAGTAAGAAAGCAGGAAATGAATCGGTTTTCTAAAGCAAAGGAAGAGTCACTCGGGAATGAGTCCCCTAGCTCCTTAGTTAGGTCTCAGTTGTAATTACCCTGGGTTGATTTACTGCTGATTAAACTGCGGAAGATCCGACAGTAGCTTGGAATCTCTTAAGCTGACCAAGCCCTTTCAGTCTAACTACCCGGCAGACGACTAGTCTTCATCGGGATAGAAAGCTGAAGCAATAAGGACAGAACTCCATTACTGGAATTGGATTTCAGTACAAAGCAGTAGACTGACTAACTCTCGTATAGCCAATCTACTACTACTGAATGAAGAAGCTCTAACAACCTAATCAGATTCTGTCTATCTCAGGCTGCAGCAGAAATCAAGAAAAGCTTATCAGACTTCAATCAATTCAATGAATCATGCATCATTCGATTAAAACCAAACAGTATAATCATCCCAAGTCATTACAATCATGATCCCTAACACATGGAACTAGGGTTCTTCATACCCAAGTGAAAGAGGGTTCTACTCCATAGAGAGAGAGAGGAAAACAGAATACAAAGCAATCATACTCATAACAATGGGAAGAATCTGCTTTGGGATGATGATTTTCACTCCTATGATGATCTCCAAGCTCGATTTGATGAAACCCAACTCCAAGATCGCTTCTAGGATGTGTTCTTCGCACTTTCTCTCCCTAGGGCTTTTTTTTTTGCTCTGAAAAGTCGATTCCCTCTGTTATGGCTCGAATCTGCCTCAAAAACCCGATTCTGGGCGAATTACGTCAGAATTACGGTCGTAATCATGGTATGCCCGTAATTGCCCAAAACGCGCGTTTCACTTGACTCGGAAGAGAGGATTTACGATCGTAATTTGCCAAGTACCGCCAGTAATTACTGAATTACGATCGTAATTAAAGTGACTCTTGCCCGTAATTGACTCTGCGACAGGAATTCTGAAAATTAGGCTCGACATTGAAATTACGAGCATGCCAGGAACAATTACGATCGTAATTATGCAGGGGCTGCTCGTAATTTTCTCTTTGAAACGCAACCCGACCTCCAAATGACCCGAAACTTGCGCCTATGCACCTCTTTACTTGCTAGGACCTGAAATATGCCAAAACAACACAACCTCGCGTAAAATAGGCCAAGGAACAACAAATTCGTGCTAAAATGGTCAGGAAACAAGGGTGAAAATATGTGCAAATATGATGTTATCAAATTCCCTCACACTTAAATGTTTGCTTGTCCCCAAGCAAACCAAGTCAGATACAAGTTAAGCTCGAAATATCTCAATCATGCAACCCCTTGGGGACATATCACATAGGAACGAGACATGGGAATCATACTGGCTTTCAAACATCAACACCTTAACAACTTCAACCGCAACCTGGACAACCACCACAGAGGACATTCGAGTGCAGCAAAATCGAGTAAAGGAGGAGTTTCCCTTCTGTTCACCATCCAACCTAGACTTGACTCAACCAATTATTCAAAACAGTCAACTCATGCATAAAACTCAAGACATCAGAATCAAGACCGAGCCATCTAGGTCCTCACCGGGGTAAAGAGTGTAAAGAACAAGGAAATGAATCGCTCACTCTCGACCAGTGGGGTGAGGACAATTTGATGCGAAAAATGCGCATATTTGTTCCCTCAATCCCTAACATCTCTTCACCATGACGGCAGCCTCTAAGTGTTAGAGCTCACAAAAATGGGTGTCATCACTAACTAATCCGGACGTCTTAGACACAGGTTCAAATGACTGGCTAGGGTCTAGGACATGGGGAAAAGGACTTTTAGGTGGTGGAAGTATTCATAGCACAAGGTTCCACATTTCCAAACCCAACAAACTATCAGTCAATCAAACCAATAACTTTCTTTCTGCTATTATGGATTACTCAAATTCTCTAGAGCACAAGGGCGAAGGAGGTCACATAAATGTTAGTGTTTCCAAGCCAGACTGCTAAGAAACACTACTTAATGGGCATTATCCAGATTTTTGTGGTGGTGGCTCTCTTTTGCTTTCATTCAATTTTTTTTTTCATTTCTTGAGAGAACCACCACCTATGCACATTTTTCAAACACAGTTGCCCAACCTTTTAAGAACTACCTCTGACTCTCACATTACAATTAGCAGAACAACAGAGAACATGTAAAAACCACTCTGTGGAACCTTCTAAGAGATGCAAAAGGGTGATTTTTCATTGTAGACCGAAAGAAAGGATGTGACACGGCTCAAAGGGCTGACTAGGGGGTATGACACACCAGGGCAGTCAATTTGGTCGTGCGCTAATCCTATGCCTCCATCATCTTAGCTAATGACAACGTGAATGCTACACATCATGGAAGAGGGATCTATCGCACAAGAAAGAAACGAGCAAGCTCAAATGTCACATAGCTACCTATATGCTCTATCTCTCATTCTGATTCCCTGAACTAGATGCATAAACGACTGTCAAGAGCAAGTCATAAATCCAAGTCACAGTTGGTAAGCAAACAGTTGAAAAACTGAACCCCTACACAATTCTACTGCATGTCTCAGTCATCATTATAGGTTTTCTTAGTCACAATCCAGTTATCATTCATCAATTCTAACAGCCATTCGGTTCATCAATAAACCACAGTGCCTATACGATCAAGCAAACAGCAGTACTTGGAGCCATCAAATCTCAAGATTTGGACAGTGGACTAGGCTCCAAGCACACACATACAGCCAAACATTCACACGCATACATAATCAAACACCCCCCCCCCCACACTTAAGCACGACATTGTCCTCAATGGAGGAAAGATAAGGAAGGTAGAACGAAGTTACCAGATCAAGGGTGAATGATGGTGGACGGGGTAGGCGGTGCATTCTAGGACGAGAGCGTAGTCGGAACACAAACACCACACAAAATATCACAAAGGTTGAGTTATTGACTCTAAAATCAAAGAACAAAACTGACTCAACCGAGGACAAATAGAGAAAGAAATGCAAACCGACTGGTTGGGTTGCCTCCCAACAAGCGCTTCTTTCAGGTCGTGAGCCGGACGATGACTCCTAAGTTTGGGTCCACCCCAAAACCTCTTTGAATTTGAGGTTCTCATCGATGAGGTGGAGTCTCAAATCACGAGCATGTGGTATGACAGGTGATGGAAGCTTGTGCACTTGATGCAGATGAAGTCTCCACCCTCGAGACCTCTTCTTCTCTTCTCTCATCTCATTGCCGCAAACCAGATATGACAACATTGAATGGCCACCATCGCGTCCACCAAGAGGGACCGATGTCGATGTGGCTTTGGTCTGGCAAAGAGACACTGCAAATGGGTCCTTGCTAAGCAATTCCTCGAAGTTTGGTGGAGATAGCACTTGTAAGTCATGGCCGGTGCAAGCCTCTTCCAACTCAACTTCGTCCTCGGCCTGGACTCTAGTTGCTTCTTCAAACCCCCTTCCTTCTTCATGTGGTATCACCCCTGAGAAAAGATCAAGAACTCCTTCTGCTTCACTTTTGTCATCCTCCACAACTTCTTTATGCACCCTTTCTTGCTCTTCTTCTTCCAGCATGGATTGGAGGGCAAGTCGCCAAGCAATTTCTTTGATGAGATCATCTTGCATCTCCTCACTCATGCCCACCTCTTCAAAGCTCAGTGTGGGATGTGGGAAGGTGTGGTCGGCTACGATAAGACATTCCTGATCATGATCATCATGGGAGCTCTCCGTGACAACTTCTGTCTGCTCCACAATGTCTTCGTAACCTTCATCTTTCTTCTCTTCTTCTAGTATAGTAGCAGAAGGGTGATCTTGAGCAGGCTGTGCATAAGAGTTCTCAAGATCATCGAGGCTCTTCTTAATGCTCAGGAGGATCTCCTCTGTTTCACGATAGGCCTGGGTACAAAAATCCATCTTGGAGCAAGATCTCTCAGTGTCTCAAGCTAACTGCTCCATGAGAAGCCTCAATTCATAGTTTGGATTGTTCTCCGTAGTGGGGAAATTCTTCTTGATAAGGAGTTTGTTCTTGATATGCCCAGGGGTCTGATTGTTCTCCGTAGTAATGGGGTTGGTACGGGAACCCGAATCCATAGTCTTCTCCTCCTTGATTGCTCCAGGAAGTCTCGGGGTAATACCACTCGGATGGTGGTGGATACCCCCAATGGTTGGAGAAGCCATGAGGATCCATGATTCAGATCTGCACCAACAAAAACAAAAACACCCAAGTGAAAAGCAAGGGTGGAAAAAAAAAACGCTAAAGTAACAAATTTCTGCCTATCCTAATAATCTAGAAAGTTCCCCGGCAACTGCGCCATAAACTTGACACGCTAGAACACAACACCAAACTGCGACCAAGTGTAATCGCAGTCCAGGAATGCAGTAAAGTGGCACAGTTGTAATTACCCTGGTTGATTTACTGCTGATTAAACTGCGGAAGATCCGACAGTAGCTTGGAATCTCTTAAGCTGACCAAGCCCTCTCAGTCTAACTACCCGGCCGACGACTAGTCTTCATCGAGATAGAAAGCTGAAGCAATAAGCACAGAACTCCATTACTGGAATTGGATTCCAGTACAAAGCAGTAGACCGACTAACAATCGTATAGCCAATCTACTACTACCGAATGAAGAAGCTCTAACAACCTAATCAGATTCTGTCTATCTCGGGTTGCAGCAGAAATCAAGAAAAGCTTATCAGACTTCAATCAATTCAATGAATCATGCATCATTCGATTAAAACCAAACATTATAATCATCCCAAGTCATTACAATCATGACCCCTAACACATGGAACTAGGGTTCTTCATACCCAAGTGAAAGAGGGTTCTACTCCATAGAGAGAGAGGAAAACAGAATACAAAGTAGTCATACTCATAACAATGGGAAGAATCTGCTTTGGGATGATGATTTTCACTCCTATGATGATCTCCAAGCTCGATTTGATGAAACCCAGCTCCAAAATCGCTTCTAGGATGTGTTCTTCGCACTTTCTCTCTCTAGGGTCTGTTTTTGCTCTGAAAATTCGATTCCCTCTGTTTTGGCTCGAATCTGTCTCAAAAACCCGATTCTGGTCGAATTACGGTCGTAATCATGGTCTGCCCGTAATTGCCCAAAACGCGCGTTTCACTTGACTCGGAAGAGAGGATTTACGGTCGTAATTTGCCAAGTACCGCTAGTAATTACTGAATTACGACTGTAATTAAAGTGACTCTTGCGCGTAATTGACTCTGCGACAGGAATTCTTGAAATTAGGCTCGGCATTGAAATTACGGGCATGCCAGGAACAATTACGACCGTAATTGTGCAAGGACTGTCCATAATTTTCTCTTTGAAACGCAACCCGACCTCCAAACGACCCAAAACATGCGCCTATGCACCTCTTTACTTGCTATGACCTGAAATACACGCAAACAACACAACCTCGCGTAAAATAGGCCAAGGAACAACAAATTCAAGCTAAAATGGTCAGAAAATAAGGGTGAAAACATGTGCAAATACGATGCTATCAGCGTTGCTGGAAATGGATCAATCGAGAACTAGCTATGCTGATCATGACCTAGATGCATAATCTCCCCCTCCAATTGACATGTATTGCACCCTTCTCCAGCGATCCTTGTCGTCGAGTTTCCACACAACTCGATGATGCGCACAACAAGCTCCCTCTCGTTTGCTTCCCTAACCCGTGATCCCCAAATTGGTTCGCTGTTCTCTGCAGGGAACAACCCCAAAATTTTGTATTTTGGGAAAAAATTTCGTAAGTGTTGTAATGTTGGAATTTGTTTGTATAAGTCTTGTAGTTTAGGATTTTTTCCTTCCCCTTAAGCTCCATCAGTCGATGCCCTTTCTCCTTCCCTTCCGACAACTTCCAACCCTCCCCTCCTGCTAGACCCTACGTCGACCCTCGCTCCTGCCTTTGATTTGCATTCCTTCCTCCGATTTGGCGGAGACAATCCAATTCCCCCTTTCTCTCGATGGAAAACAATGCCTTCATTTTGTCTGATCCCCTATGCCACGAAAATTTAGAGAAGAAGATCGTCTCCCTCGTCAGGTCCCTTCGCGCGCTCTGGTCTGGAAGAAGAAGGTTGGAGAAGAAGAATGGAAAGATGACGACTTGGTAGTGCATGAATCCCCTGTCCACCTGATGTTTTGCCCTGCTCGACTATGCTAATGAAAGAAGCTATGATCTCTCTCCCTCTGCCCTACTCTGCATCTAGGGGTGTGCAATGGTTCGGTCTGGTCCCGACCGGACCAAATTCACGAGAACCGCAGTCCATTAGTGAAAGACATCTTAGAACCAAGGACAGGACCATCATTGCGTTAAGTCCATTTGGTCTGGTCCGAACATCAGCTCGGTCCATCATTTCTTCAGTAATTGTAAAATTAATGTGGACCAAGGACCGGACCACATTATGCTAGATCTGGTGCGGTCCGGTCCAAAATTGGCGTTGGTCCGGTGCGGTCCGATCCCATACCAAATCATTGCACACTCCTATCTGCATCCCTGCCTCTGTATGCATGAGAAGAAGATGAATTGATGCTTGAATTTTTGGTCGGACGAAAAAAATTGGTTTAGACCTAGGCCAAGCAGAAGGTTGACTTTAATTGACTTTGGGTCTCAATAAAAATCAATTTCTCAACTTCCAGTAACGAGATTCTACCATTATAAAGCAAAATAATGACCACTAGAAAGATTTCAGTACTTAACAAGGATTTTGCTACCATTTAATATGAGTTAATATTAACAAGAAGACCTATAAATTAAATAAACAACTATATTTTTGTTTTCCCCCCAGAAATGTCAAGAAAGAAATAAAAATCCAAAAAAAAAAACCCCACCCTTGCAAAAACCCAGCTGGCTATATAACAACAACCAGACGCAAAAATCAAAAGACACAAAATATAACAAAGATAAGGAAAGGGCTTCATGTGTCACTCTATGGGCATCCAAATTGAAAAATCTAGGAAGCGCCCTAAACTCCACACCATGGGGCATGATCAAGATCAACTGGAGACAATCACGCATTATAGGTGAGTTGACAAATAACAACCTCTGAGTCGCCTTCAACCAACACTCTAGCATTCTGATAGGAAACCACAATTGAAATGGCGTCACGAGCATTAATTAAGAAGCCCTGCAAGATACTTGTTTGAAATTCCATAGTGAAGTTAACCTTGAGAACACATGAAGGAGGAGTGCAGCAGACCGTCCGTCGAGGTGTGTGGGGGGGGGGGGGGGTGGACTAAACAAGAGAAGGGGAAGGATTGAAGAAGAAAAATACTCGAACTTGAAAATCAAACTATAGTTTTCAACGGCCATAGTTTTCAAAGACCATACTCGTACCTGATGTTGATAGTATTCAAAGACCATAGGAATCCAAGATTTCTAAATCCTTCAGAAAGACAAACACTTTGGAGAACTTGGAATTGCAAGTGGTCAGATCGCAAGAGAATATGCCAAAAATATCGAAGGTAGTTGTTTATGCAATAATGTAGATCAATAGGTCGATCATGTCGGATATCTGTTGACATTTTAGCTGAGATCACAAGGTTCATTGTATTTAGCGAAATCTTCACAGAATTGGTGTGAACAAAATGTTCTTTCCTTTGTAATGGTGAAGTCTTGTTGCAACATGATAAATATGACATTCGATCGATCATTTTGTCCAAGTGAATGTATTTTGGAAGTCAATATTTGTTAACATAGGCGGAGCGAGGCTTTAGAAATCGGGAGAGAGGAGAGCAGTCGAAATTTTCTTAATATATTACCACAAAAGGCTCAAAAAATAGTAAGAAAAAAATTAAATATTCTAGTCATAAACTTCTAAACCCATATCCAACAAAAAATCTCTATTTTCATATATCAAATATTCTCACGTCCTGTGATAAAGTTGGATGAGTGAGTCGGTTCAAAAACTCAATCGGTTAAAATTTTGGTATGAGTTTGTTCACCCCTAAATTGACATCCATGTAAGGAAAAAAATTGGTTCCCAAAAAATAGACAAAGGATGATCAGAAGAGTGCGATGGAACCACTAAAAATGTCTGAGATCCAGTCTTCCTCTTCCATCGCCTCTTTCTTCGTAATGGGGTTTCTCCAATTTGTTTCATCACCCACCAAGCGAAATCCCCCCACCATTCTTATTCCCCACCCATTTCCCTTCAATCTCCTTTCTCAATTTTGTACGGCTTCCCGCTTCTTTACTTCTCTTCTTTTCCGTAGTTTGATCTTGGGAAACTCTGATCATCAACAATGTCGTCGACAGAGAAGGAGAGAGAGGCCCATGTCTATATGGCCAAGCTTGCCGAACAGGCCGAGCGATATGAAGGTAAACAAACAAAAACACCACAAAATCCAAATCCCATGAATTTTCTAACAAATTAGTGGGTTTACAAATCGAAATTTGAATTTTTTACCTGTGAATCCCTAGAAATGGTGGATTGCATGAAGAAGGTGGCAAAATTGGACTGCGAGCTGACAGTGGAGGAGAGGAACTTGTTGTCGGTGGGGTACAAGAACGTGATCGGAGCGCGGCGAGCGTCATGGAGGATCATGTCGTCGATCGAGCAGAAGGAAGAGTCAAAGGGGAATGAGCAGAATGTGAAGCTGATCAAGACTTACCGCCAGAAGGTGGAAGATGAGTTGGCCCAAATTTGTCAAGATATCCTCAACATCATTGACAAGCATCTCATCCCTTCATCTGCCTCTGGCGAAGCCACTGTTTTCTACTACAAAATGTAAGTTCCCTTCTACTCCTTCAAATTCCCTTTCAATTGTTCTTAAGTTTGAATTTGTAAGGAAATCATAGGTCTTATTTATGACTAATTTTGATTAGGAAAGGCGACTATTTTCGTTATCTTGCTGAGTTCAAGACTGAATCGGAGAAAAAAGATGCAGCTGAACAATCACTCAAGGGTTATGAGGTAATTGATTATATCACATCTTCCATTTGGGCTCCTTATTATATCATCGTCGCGCGACATTGTAATTACCTGCATTTTAAATGATAATTCAAAAGGCTGCTTCTGCTACTGCAAGCACAGAGTTGCCTTCAACACACCCAATTAGGCTCGGACTTGCGCTCAACTTCTCTGTTTTCTACTATGAAATCATGAATTCTCCTGAAAGGGCTTGCCATTTGGCCAAGCAAGCTTTTGATGAAGCAATTGCAGAGTTGGATACTTTGAGTGAGGAGTCATACAAAGACAGTACCCTCATTATGCAGCTATTGAGAGACAACCTCACACTCTGGACTTCTGACTTGCCTGAAGATGGAGGTAACCCCATCTTCTTTCTCTATACATTTTATATTCAACTTCTTATGTTTTGTGCCCTAATAGGACTGATAAGCGTACAGGGTTGTTCCACTTTCACCAAATGCCCAAAAAGAGACAAATTTGCATGTAGAACATGGGGTGTTGAGTATTAAAAAAAATCCTAACAACATAAGATATATCGTAGTTAATAAGTTAATTTCTGATCTAGTTGATTGTCCATGGAAGTGTCCTCGCTTCTTTCCTTGTAGTTCTATGTTTATTCCTGGACATTTTTTGTACATTAATTCTTTTACGTGTTTTGCCATATCAATTGTTTAAGAACTATGAGTACAAATATGTTATTCGACCTTCCCAAGACGCCCTAAAAGATACTAAGATGCACGCGCCAAGCCACGTGGGGTATTATTATGTATTAAAAGAAATCCTAACCCCATTTATTACGATGCGATCATAGATAATGTAAGTAATAAAATAATTTTTAATTTGATTGCCTATTGATGAAGGCACTCCCCTTCTCACTCCATAGAACTATGATAATGTTAACCATATACTATATATTAAGATTTATTAAGTTTTTTGTCCTAACAAATCGATCGCATGACAAGCATAAAAAGTTATTCTACTTTTCCCAAACTCTCTGAAAAATACTAAGATGTACGCTCCACACCATGTGGGGTGGTATGTAATAAAGGAAACCCTAACTACATTAATGATGACAAGATCAACGAATCTTAATGAATTAAGTTGATTTAAAATTTAACTACTTATTGATGGGGGTACTCTCTCTTTCTTCCATGTACTTCTATATTGTTATCAATCAATCTTCTCTACATTAAATTTTTTATATTTTCTGGCCTGAACAACCGGGTGGTACGAGTACGTACAAATAGGCTATTCTAGTTTCCCTGAATGTCCTAAGAGATACCAAATTGTACGTGCTACTCCATGCCTCTTGGGGTACACATATTAAAAGAAACCCTAACATCATTATGGAGAAGCAATCATAGATATCTTAATTAATAAGTTGATTAATAAGCTAATTACTTGTTGATGTATCCTCCCTTCTATTTACTTCTAAACTACTGTCAACCTATCTACTCAACATTCAAACTTTTAGCATTTTGGCCTAATTGATTCGATAGGATTTACCAACATAACGTGCATGTTGTTTTACTTTCCCCAAGCCCCCTAAAAGATAATAAAATGAACACCCCTCGCCATGTAGGGTGTTACTTGTTAAAAGAAACCATAACCACGTTTATGATGATCGATCAACTACGTTCGTAACTATAAGTTAACTTGTGATTTAATTGCTTGTCAATTTTAGGTGAGGATAACTTCAAAGGTGAAGAATCAGGCGCCAAACCTACAGAACCTGGAACAGCAGGGGTTGGTTTTTCAGAATAAGTTTCTTCTTCTACTTTGGCCAATAATACCCAAAAATAGTGGTCCATTAAACTCTTGTTCACTTTTATTTTTGTGTGTGCAGAAATGAAGGAAACATGCTAAAGATTTAAGAACTTGATTGACAAAGAGACCAAGCTGATGGGTGATATTTATTATGATATATATGTTTGCTGAAGTGTGCTCCCCCAATTTATGATCTCTATTATTGAATTAGCTTTGATTCTAAACAACACCAAAATTAGTTATAGAAGAAGAATTTATACAATTCTGACATTTTGTTTCTCCTGTCATTCATTCATATTCTTTCTTCCTTTGTGGAGTCCAGAAAGTGATTAAATCCTTATTGGGCGATGGGATTTGATCAAAGAATTCAATACGTTTAAGCTCTTTTCATTTGTTTAATTATGGTAACTAATGTTCATGTGTTTGTTTGTCTTTACCAATGAACCATAAGGAATATTATAAACGATTTCACATAACAAGCATAGCAAATTGTTCACAAGAATTAAAACTAGTTACAATAACACTCATTAGGGGTTGGCTCTAAAAGTTTAAAACATTTCCACGAACATTAAAGCTTAGTCCTTGAAGATCTCTTCCAATGTCAACAATTCATAACCACAACTACTTTTGGCTGAAGAACCAATGCCAAACCCTTGTCGAACTACATCATCGAGTAGACCGGACGCAACCTCTCTCATGCAATGTCGTTTGCATTTCGGGCTAGGGCTAGGGCTACGGTTAGGCTCCCCACCTAGTGATCCTCCTGTAGTTGTTGCAACAATAACACCATCGTCGAAGTTCATATTTCCACCACCTTGATCATGATTTCCTTCCATCTTTGATCCTGTAACATCACTAAGGATCGCAAGAGATTGTTCAATAACAAGAGCTTCTTCCACCATTGGAGCAACATAATTATGATAATGATCATAATCGTGATAATAATACTCATTATAACCATCATTATCGTCTCCCCAAGTTTTTATGCCTTCTCCCATAGGCACAATGGCTTCCACTGGGGCAATGGAACTGCTTCTGCCACCTTCAAGCTCAAACACCTCATTATCACACCAACCCATATCTTCGAAAGTAGCAGTGAAGCTCGTGGATGCTACCGATGATTTAGCACCATTTTCGACGCCAACTCCAAGTGATTTTGGCTCTTCTTCTACTTCGATGGGATGTGGTGCAGTAGCGTTGTTGATAGTTTCCTCCAACTTGTTATTATACTCCTCATCCTTCTCCTCCACATCAATTACATAGCTATCTTCCGTCTTACTATTCCCTGCCTTCAAATCATTAGCCACGATGTTTGCAACTTCCATCTCTTCTTCGGTAATTATTGCATCCTGTAGTACTCCCACCAAAAGAAATAAGTAATTAATTGAGTGAGTAACTTAGTATTATTGAATCAATATCTTCCGGATAATACATATATAGGTCAATGCGATGGATAGTTACCAACTGAGCTTCTTCAAAACTTCTCTTGTTTCCCACTAATTTGGCTGTGGAAGAAGAGACACATGATGTTGATGACTTGATATTGTCATTTTGGCTTGTTTTGCTCTTTCGTCCCCTCCTTTTTGGTGGGGTTGAAGAGGAGGAGCTAGCTGATTTAATTGATTTGGTCTTCTTGGGGTAAATATTGCTCTCTAGACGATCAGGATAAACATTATTCTTCACAAATTTAATCACTTCCACTGTGGATTTAAAGTGGCCTTTTGATTGTATGTGATGATAATACTGCATGCACATATGACAATTAAGATAGTGCAAGTGAGATATGATATCATAGACAAATAAGTGAGGTAAGAAATAGCTAAACATTTGTTAATCAAACAAGCAAACCAAGTTACATGAATATGAAATAGAGGAAGTGATAGTGAAGAGAAAACAAGTACATAAGAAATAGTATGTATTGCACATTGGAACTTAGTGTCAAAGCATTAAAGCAATGATTTAGAGTGAGAAGGGAATAAATAACATGCTGCAACAACTTCTCACAATTGAATCTCTTAGTTTTGAATGAGGGAGGGGGGATCATAGCCTCATTTGATCCCATCACTTTGCAATGTTTGTCAGAACACATATATATTATAACCTTAAGTAAAAAAATGTAGGGGTTGTAGCCCCTTCTAAACTAGATGTAGCTCCGGCACTTTCGACACACTAAAAGAATGAACTAACTGAAATATGTTTATGCACATCATGGTGGAATCAAGAAGCTATAGCTAGTATGATGAAACTAACAAAAACTTATAAGTTATGTGAAAGGAGTAAGTTAGATACGAGACACATGAAAATCGATTACTCTAATTAAAAGGATTCTTTTTGGGTAATAATTGTCACACAATATTCGAAGTCAGAGTGCATGATAGATGTTTTCATCCTAATTATTTCGCTCTGATCGAATACCCTTAAAAAAACACAAACGAATCAAAATCCTCACACAAACAACATTAAACCCAGCACCACCATACTATGAGAAGTAAGACCAATCATTCATATGTCGAACTTTGGCAAATCAACCCCAAAACCAGTTGCAATAAGAGTTGAAATCCATGGTAAATCATCTTAAATAGTATGTTGAATTGATTCATTACCATGTCATATGGGATCGATATATAGGTTTTACGTCCCCGACGCTCCCCGATCCATCCTTGAAGCCGTTCAGAGAAAGGGAACCATCGTTGCTTCTGTTGCTCGGCTGCCGCTTGAGCCCTTGGCTCCAGCTATATATACGTACACGCACAGAACAATAACTCATAGATATGTAATATGTTCATTTCAAGTATGGTGTATTCATCATCAAAACAATGGTGTGTGTCAACCTATTACCTTCTCCATTTCTTCATAGATCCCTTGGTTCATAGGTATCTTAAAGGACATCTCCAAAAGCTTCTCCGTCACAGCTGTTCCCTTTCGTTTTCTTAAGAATGGGAAGTCCTCCAACTACAACATACACAAGAAATCATCGTCCACCAACCCCATGACATGTATGTGTATATGAGAACGGAAAAATGTTTTCGATGGCCAGTGGTTGGGCTGTAACCCTGAATCTCTCGTTCTTGTGAGTTTGCTCCACCTGGTCTCATGTACACACCAAACAAACCCACAAGAGAGCGAGCAATTCAAGCCTACACTTCTGCCACTGGCCAATTTCTAGAAATGATAGATTGTGAGAATTGAATCCAAGACTGTGCACTCTGCCTGTCTTTTTCATTTAAGATCTAAGAAATAGTCTAGCTACAAAACAAAATTTTAAATCATACATCACAAAGATAAGTGGTGTTGGTAACAAGAAGGCCCGAAAGCCGTTTCCCATCCCTGTCAGGGAAGATGCTAACCATCTCTCCTTTCTACGAACACCATAAAGACAAGTAGATATGAAGGAAGGGCTCTGTGGAAAGTTTATGCATACCCTAAGGGTTCCCTCTTCCTCCTCCTCCTCATCGGATTGTTTTGCCTTCTTCCTTCTACTCAATCGAACACACAACTCCTAGCAAAAATCAAGCCACGAACAACAACCCACATCAAACATGCAAACCCAAACAGAATTGAAATCAAGAAAGAAAGAAAGAAAAACTAAACCTTGAGTTGATCTTCAAGATGCAAGGTCAAATCCTCTAATACAACGTTGTTGTCGTTGTTGTTGTGGTTCTTATAAAACCTACTCTTCTTCTTCTTCTTCTTCTTCTTCTTTTTCTTCTTCTCATCCTTCTCCTCCTCCTTCTTCTTCTTCCTTTTCTTTTCAGTTGCAGAAGGGAACCCTAGATTTGGATTCCCAACCGCTTGCATGGGTTCTTGTTGCACTACCACTTGACCAGCAGTAGTGTTTTTCATGAATGGAGTTACGGTTGGAGAATTCATTAACTGGATGATGTCTTTTGAGATCATTGCTTTCTGAAAACGTTTGTTTAAACAAAAATGGTTTTGTTGGTGTTGACTGAAATGATGTATGCAAAATAGAGTGAGAAAGAGGAGGAAGAAAGGGTGAGTCAGTGAGTCGACTCGGTCACACTATTCATGTGCAGACAACATTTGCAAACAAAAGAAGAAAATGGCTTCTTCTTCTTTTGTGGGGGGTTGTGTGGGGGTGACAGAAGAAATAATAAACATATATAGAGAAAAAGCCAAGAAAGAAATTAATTACGGATTTTTTTGCTAGTTAACCCCCACCTGCTTTCGTAATTTCATTTTTATTTTTATATTTTTGCCTTTTTTACTGGATTTTTAATTTTTTGTTTTCAACGCGCTGCATTTTCCATAATTTTTTGATTATTTTCTTGTATTCATTGAACTGGATTTTTTTTTGTAATTATCTTATTGCTTTAGCTTCCTAAAATAATTTAGTTGTTTTGGAAATTATTTGTGTGTAAGATTTTCTTTTGGAAAAAAATCTTGAGTTTCCTAATTTTTTTAATGCATATTTCCTCAAATGAACATAACTCTAAAATTTCAAAGTTTGGAATGTGACTAATCATGATAGACTCTACAAATTTTTGAAAATTTAAACACAATATTTTGAATTTTTGTTTTCTAAAATTTTACACTAGGAAATGAGAATATATTCTCAATGTATACAGACATGTATTGTAAGAATCATTACTCAAAACCTAGTGTTGAACAAAATGAGAATGTGTTTCCACATCAATTACTTTTTTATTGTACCCTTCAACTCTACTTTTTTTTAGTTCAAATAAAAAAGTCATTTGGATGTAGTATTTGCTCATGAATTATAGTAGAATCAATCGATCGAGAATTACATGAAAAATTATTTCGCGCAACAAAATGGTGTCAAATTCATGGTAAGAGAGTGTGATAAACTACTAGAACCTAGGAATTTAAGAAGTCTCCCTCAATGAGGATTGTGAATCTGTACCTAATAATGTATTTTGTGCTAATTTATTTTTAATTTAGAGATAGGCTCCAGTAACCCTAGACACAAGAAGTCAATTCAATTGAGTAATGCAATTATTGGGTCTAATAGATCCGGTATGATTTACGAGAATTAATATATTATTTTACTTTCCCCAATAGTCCTAAAAGATATTAAGATGCACATCGCTCGCCACGTAGGGTGTAACTTATAGAAGGATATGCTAACCACATTTACGAATGATCGATCAACGATCGTAATTATATGTTAACATGTAATTTAATTGCCTGTTAATTTTAGTTGAAGATAACTGTAAAGGTGAAGAATTAGGCGCCAAACTTGCAGAACCAGGAACAACAAGGGTTGGTTTTTCAAAAACAAGTTTCTTCCCAAGAATACATATTCTCTCAAATGAACATTTTTTAAAAAATCACAAAGTTTAGATTACGACTAATCATGATAGACTCTGCACTTTTTAATGGTTAATAAAAATGGCATTAAACACGAGAGATATAACATTAAATTCCTCTTAGTTGTTTACATATAGGCAAGCATGAAACTTTGCCAAAACAAGTTTCCTCCAAGGAATACATATTCCGAGTCCGCCATGACATGAGCTGCGTTATTCCCATCTCGAGAGACATGCTGCCACGATCCAGTTTCTGACTCACCAAGAAGGCGACGAATACTTCTACAAATAACACCAATCTCTGAGTCAAACGCCTCGGCCCTCTGGATTTTTTACACCAAACCAATGTTGTCAACCTCAAGGATAAGGTTCTCGAAATGATGTTGTTGCTCCATCTGAAAGCCAAACTCTGCTTCCCTAGCTTATGCCGCTTCTACCTCCCACCTACTAGGGATATTCTTTGCAGCCACCATCAGGAACTGGCCCTGCGGGCCACGAGCGACTATTCCCAAGCCGATACCATCTCCATGAAGAATAGCAGCATCTATATTAATCTTGACATGTCCTAGAGCTGGCGCTAACCACTCAATATTCTCCCTCACCTCCTCCTAAATAGCCACAGTTGATTGCTGGGTCCGGTAGTCTTCGAGAAACAGCTTAGCTCGGGGGATAATATCCTGCTCGTCCATCTGAGCACCATTAAAAAGATGGGCATTGCATTCACGCCACAAGAACCAGAGCATTGCACATCAAACTTCTATGTCTTCTTTATCTCTCCCTGCCACGGCTTCCATGAACAGTGGTAGAAATCATCGGACATTCTACACAAGAAAAGCGCCCCAACATCATACGATAGACATAGTCTAGTTATCCAATCACATTTCCCAAATAGGGGAGCTTGGGTTTCCTGACCATCATAGAATGGACATCTATCGCTCCACTTCGTGCTCTTTGTACTAAACTTGTAACCCGTCGGTAGGATTCCTCTCATAAAGTGCCACATAAAATGTTTTACTTTAGGAGGGATTTTCATTGACCAAAGATACTTCCACGTCGATGTATCACCTACCGGGTTCATTGCGCGTTCTCGGAGGAATTTTTGCAGCCAGAATTTGTAACCTTCCTTTATGGAGTATTCTCCAGAGTCACTTGCCGCCTGAATCAGTTTGTCCCTCTCACCATTACCCCTTAGGGGTATTTTTAGTACTCGCTGACCCACTTCAACTGGCATGCACCCTTCAATAATCTCCCAATCCCACGCCTCCGTATACAGGTTAATGAGCTCCCTCACGTTGGCATCAACAGGCATGCCACGTGGAGCCGAGTCCGTTAAATCATAGGAGCCCCCTGGTAGCCATCGGTTGCCCTGACTCACTCCTACTGTCACTCTAGAAAATGGCCAAGTGTAACCACTTCCTAAAGCGTAGTATAGCGGGTTGGGGTTTTAATGTCAACCCGGGTCCTAGATGTGATGACTACTCAGTGAATTCTTATTATTTAGCTGTGAAACTTTAGTGCAGGTTCAAACAAGCAAACAAGCAAAGCAAGCAAGAAGGTTGTTTTCAAGTTGAGAGAGGTCACCCGGATATGGTTCCCCCTAGACTGCAGTTAAGCCGGATTGCAATTTACCAAGTTCAATTTTAATGATAGTTATACTGCGGGAGGTTCTTAAGCAGTCTGAAGTCTCGACTAAAGGTCTCCAGACCCTCTCAATCTGAGTCCCCAGCGGGCGACTAACCTCCACCGGAGTAAACATATTGAGGCCCTAACGAACCAAACCTCCACTACCGAAGTAAATTCGGTACAGAATAGTGAATTGGCTCCTCGACTAAAGTCGCCAACTCACTACCTTCAATTAAGGGTGCTCTATCAACATAGGCAGATATTCTCTTTCTAGGTTAAAGCAGAAACAACAGGAATTTGATCAGGATTCATGCCATTCAATAAATCAAATCTTAATTGAATATAATCAAATCATAGAATATGTACTTGGGTTCATACAATCCGACCTAACATACAAATCTAGGGTTCTTCATACCCAGGTGAATAAGAAAGTTACTCCATAGAGAGAGAAGCAAAAGTAAGCTCAGATGCAGAAATCATGTTGTGAGGGATGGGTTTCTGCTCCTGGTCGTCAATCGGCACTTCTCCAAGTGTGAGCCGAGCTCCAATGGTGATGAAGATCAAGCTAGGGAACTTGGGAACTCTGGTTCGTCACTTTCTCTCCCTAGGAATCGCTTTCTTTCTCTAAAACTCGGAACCCCTCACTTTTGGCCTTCTTTTCCCTTAAGAAGCTGTCTGTCGCGATCCCCGACCTGAATACCCGGTCGGGTATTTTGGGTGGCGACCGGGTATATGCAAAACGCCAAGTTTGAAGACAGGGGAAAATCCCCGGTCAATGCCAAAAATCCTCGACCTGGATTTCCGCTCTGTGCGCGGGCCCCCTTCTGCTTCTCAGAGACGCCCGAAGCGACAATTCCCCGATCTACTCCAAATAATACCCGGCCGGGTATTTTGCTCCTCCAGCACACTTCACCCCAAACGTGCTCCTTTCGACCCAAAACTCGTTTCTTCGCCTCGATGCCAATGCTGAGCCCTGAAATATGACATAAACGCACAACCTAGCGTGAAATCAGCTTAAAACACGAGAATCAACATCTCAAACGGCTCAAGAATAGGGGTAAAAACATGTGTAATCAATTATCTATCACGGCGGTGAGAGTGTGTGTTGATTTGTTAATGTGGACTTTGTAGCAACATTGCAATTAAAGAGAGTCCCATGATGTATAAAATCACAACATTGTCTTTTGGGCCAAAAAAGCTTTGAAATTTTCTACCGCAACGTTGCAGGCATAGGAATAAAAAAAGGAGTTCCAAAATCTTGGCCTTAGCGTTGATGTCAACGAGTTAAGGGAAACAAAGTTGATTATTTTTGGCCATGTTGGTAGGAAATTATTACCAAATTTACCACAAGTGAAAGGAAGAAATAATGGCCAAGTATGAAGGAAATTCAACGTGGCCAAGTTCGGTAAAAAATTTGTTCGCAGAGGTGTACGCTCGAGGTGTTCTAAATTGCTTAGGCCACAATATAGTGTTGGTGTTAAATTTTGGCCCATACAACATTGTTGCTTACCGCAACTTTGTAGGAATGTTTAATTACTATTATAAAAAAAAAATAAAAAACAGTTCAGGCCGCCAACAGCTGGGCAAGTCCGCAGCGATGGTCTAAATATACCACGGGTCAAACATCATTGTCACCTATTGCAGTATTTTTAAAATGAAAAAATAGGAAGAGCGGCCAAGCAACAAGGTAAAGCTTGCCGCAACATTGCGGGAAAAAGAGGGATCAATTTAGAATTGGTCTATCAAATAAATAAGCATTGGCCAATGGCCATAAAAACGTTGTTTGTTTTGTTTAGCAAAGCAGTGGAGAGGGATTTCTTTGGGAACAAAACGATGTTGTTTAGTTAAAACAACGTTGCGGAGGCTGTGCCGTGCGGCCCATTAATTGGCTCGATAAGCGACCGTGCAAATTCAGAAATGATATTGTGGTAAGTGGCCAAAATTTAATTCTATAAAAAATGCAACTGTGTTGTTAGGCGAAACAGTGTTGTGGTCGTAGTGTTGCTGGATAAAAGAAGGGTATTTGAAACTCAATCGTTTTGGGTCGACAAAACAAGGCTGATGTTGCTGGCCATGTTTGGAGCAAGCAACGTTGTGGATATTAAGGGCAGTGTTGCGGTCAAATTTTAGTTGAAAAAAAAAATGAGAGCCGCAGTTTAGATAAAAAACGGTGCTGCTAAATGATATTAATAAAACGTTGTCGTTTAAATAAGGAATATGGCAGAGTTGCAGTTTTGTGAGGATTCACAGTGTTGCAAAAGAAAGGGAAAGCTTCACCAAGCCGCATGATGAAGTGTGCCGCAACTTTGTGGGCAACCAATCTATATTTTTGATTCTACAGCGTTTGCTATGAGAGTGGAGATGAAAATAAATCCACAAGGCTTTTAGCTGAAAATGACAGTAGAGTTTCATATGAGATTAATTTGCATCATTGGTGATAGCAATTATCAACCACGAAATTCCCGCCAGTTTTGGTAGACTTGAGACCGAATTAATAATATTTTTAGGTGGTAGGGTTATGTGAACAACTTAGTTCATAAGAATTAGTTATAATAAATTAAGTTTTGGGGGCATTGTTTACACCTAAAAATAATTTGCACTTAAATACAAAATTAATGCAGCATCACAAGGTTAACGATGCCGCGAGCTAAAGGACATCGCGGTGGTCGACGACTTTGAGTTCAAGGATGTCGTAAAGAAAATACCACCATGGATCTCAATGGTGTCGTAAGTTCAACAACACCGTGTATTCAACGACTTTGCGAGCTGAGCGATTTTGTGAGTCCAACGGTGGCAACGTGGGGTAACACAACGATGTTGTTTAATTGACGGTGGGGTCTTGTTAGCTGTTCAAATCAACGACATTGTTTTGACGACTTTGTTGGTGGAAGCGTAAACGAAATCGCAGGCTCATGAAAGTAAGGGAGTTATTTTCTTGCACGTAAGATCTACGCAAAGCAGAAAGAGAAGATCAAAGCGGTTGAATACTACAACTTCGCGGAGAAGGATGGAGCACGTGAGCGTGGGTGCAAGTTTTTTTGACAATGACGAAGCAGTTGTGAAGAGGAGTTAGCGTGAAGACTACGAAAGTGATTTAGATCAAATCACCGGAGCGTAGGAGAGAGAAAAGGGGAACCAAAAATCAACACAAAAACAACTCTGTTAAAACTTCATTTTTTCTCTGTAACTCCTTCGCAGAGCTCTCCTTCCAGGAAGGATCTCCATAGTTGTAGTCTTAGTCGTAGTCGCGGAGCTCACCATAGGACTATCCATAGGAGTAGTCGTAACGTAGATTCCTCAAGAACTCAAACACCCTCGTTCGAATATTTTTTGGAGAGATTTGAAACGAGTAACAATCGTCTTGGTTTCAGAAGTCAAAGGTGCATCGATCAAATCAACACGTCCCGGTGAATATTTGATGATCGTGTTTGTTTTCAGAAGTCAGAGTTGCACCAATCAAATCAACACGCACGGTGGATATTTGACAGTCGTCTTGATTTCAGCAATCAGTGGTGCATCCGATCAAACGGCACCGCTAGAGTATCTATCGTGAAACAATCAAATCAATATCATCGGAAACAAACTCAGCACCAGTGGTGGGTATTTGGTTTCGCCAGAAAACACCCCTACAAATACAACAGATGAACGAACACTAAAATGTCTCTTTCCATCTTCTTCTACATGGTGAGTACCATGCACAAAAATCCAACAATTGTCCAGCATGGCTCCAAACCATGTCCTTTATCTTCTCTCCATGCAAGCACCCTCTCTCTCTCTCTCTCTCTCTCTCTCTCTCCCCGGATCCTTGTGTATCTTCTGCCTCCTCTGATGCTTCCGTCCATCTATCTTCTATCTAATTCTCAACATTCTTAGTTGGTTGATCAGCTTGAAACCCATTCGACTACTGCATCGAGAGCTTAATTTTGGCAGGAATTCAGAGATCATACCTTGTAGATTCGCATTCGAGAGGGCGGATGAGGCCATCTACCCTGATTCAATCACATCCACTCTTGTGAAACTTGTTTCTACTCTCTACTTCCCATCTCCATTATATACCGCCCCATGCACTATTTGTTTCCTTCTTCGAACACTAAAATCTCAAGTTATTCCATGCTATATGTAGCATGTCTCCTGAACTTAGGGGTCGTTTGCAAGTTGAGATTTCAGATAATGTATTTAGCCAATACGTGTAAGCAATTAGAAGAATTCGCCTTTTCTTGTCTTAAAATGAAACAGAATGCTCGTATTTGAACAACATATGGGACGATCGGAATAATTCATTTTGAATGATTGTCAATCTCAGCTTTTAGTAGAGATTGTGTTTGAGGGATTGTAAGCTTACTTTTTCTTCCATAATATTCTTTGAGGGATCACCAAAATCATTCAATCTCGAAACAATATATTTTTCAAATTCATACATTGAAACAACGCATCTAACTATAATACGTACATTGATTAAATACATCAATTTAGAGAATTGTAACTTTCAAACATGCCCTTAGGCCTTAGTTACATATGAAGAGACAAGGGGCTAGTTTGGCCCTGTTGTAACTTTTGCAGAAACAGCTTCTGACTGAAGCTTTTAGTGAAGTATTTTTCAAAAAAGCAGTTTGGTATTTGGCGGAAAAACTATTATAAGAGTTTTTAATATGAGAGGTTGTGTAAAATGACTATAATGGACTTATAATATAAACTATAAATAAAAATTGTAAACAATAAGAAGTAGTTAAAATTGATCTTGTTAGATTTCTTTTATATTAAATAGTATGATTTTATAATTTATTTTATTTTTAAAATGATATAAATGAAAAAAAATATTTTATGAAAAAAATTAAAATATGGAAGGATAATCTTGTATTTTCAAAACAGTTTTTTGCAGAAGGTTTCTGCTTTTATGTTTACAAAAGCTCTTTTCGATTTTTCAAAAGCGGAGCTTTTAGAGGTGTTTGGCTCTGCTTCGGCTATTAAAATCCAAAAGCACTTCTAAACCCTAGGCCAAAAATAAGGAAGGTTGAGTTTCGATTATTCGATATATTTACCCGCCGATTAGTAACTAGGTAGGGGTGATAATCTCCTTTGAATCAAGACTCGGATGAAATTGTGTGACTTATCAAGGTTGTCAACCCGCTGGTCGACCCGGACCCGCTCCTGAAAACGGGCTAGAACAGTCCATTTGTGAGTTAGCCCGAAAATGGTCAAACACGGCCAAACCCTGAAACACCCATGCGGTTGGCCCATCCGAGCTGGTTAGTGGGCTCTCGTTTCGAAGTGTCGTTGAATTTTTACTAAGTTGAATTTAAGTTGATGTTATTTAAGTGTGTTGGAGTTTAATTAGTGTTGTATTTTTTTATATGTTAGATGCAAGATAAGTATAATATAATTACTATTTTCATATTTCCGGGCTAAATCGGATTAAAACGAGTGACTTATTAACCCTTAATTCACTATCTCCACTGGCTCCGAGTCGACACGCGGGTTGACAAACATGGACTTATCCATCCGAACTGTTTTAGAGAAGAAGCCGGCAACAAGCCTTCTCTAGGGCCAAGGAAAGACTCAGATATTTCAATCCTAAACTGCCAAAGAAAAAATAATTGTCGAATCCCATATGTAATAGTTGAGATTTATGGGTACTAAGTGGTAGTTATTCCAGAGGATTATATTGTAAGATGGCATTGATTAATGCTGGCTACTGGCTACTGCATAGGGATCGAAGAAATGGATTGGAAAGCCAATGATTATAAATCGGGTAAATTGCAAGTTTGGTCACTGGGATTACTAAATAATTTCATGTTTGCCACTAAAATTAGTTTATTTCATTCATGGTCACTAAGATTAGTTCAACAGTTCAAGTTTGGTCACTCTCTGTTAGTCTCCATTAACTTTTAATGATGTGGCAGTCAACTCTTATAGTTGACCGTTAGACTAGTGACGTGGCAATAAAAATAATAATAAATTAAAATTATGTTTTAAATTTTCCACGTCATGAATACATTTACAAAATAAAAATAAAAAATTTCTTATCCCCACCAAAACCCACCGGGAATAATGCCTCGCGGCCTGCTCTGGCGGAGTCGTCGGCCTCTCCATCGAGACATACCAGGTAATGCATAAGCTCGATTTCGTCCGCTCGAGATTCTCCTTGATCCTCCTCACTTTCCTCGCAATGATCGCTTTCCAGTCCATCATTCACGTCGTCGTCCGCGAGATCCCGATCTCAACCAGGCAAACTTCTGTCGGATCCTCGAAGTCGCCGACAAGCTACTCCGCAAGTTCTTATTCAGCACCACACTGCTACTATCTCCTCCTTCACCTTTGCCTTCAATTCCGTTGTTGTATCGACAGCATTGCCCCGCGACCGAGGTCGTCACAGTCGTTGCCTGCTCCGGAGGAGTCGTCGGATGCAAGTTTCAGGGGGAATAAATAGCTTTGTCTTTATGTTCTTCTTCTTCCTCAACTCTTCCTCTGAAGTGGGTTTTGTGGTTGATTTCAAGAAATCCCTTTCTCTTTTTAACAAGATGGGTTGTAGACGCACTGTTTTTAAAATTTGCTCCTGAGGATTTGGGAGTCTCACAAAAGATACTCTCCTCTTCGCAGCTCCCAGCCTCATCAGAAATGTTTCTCCTAATCATCTCCCTTTCAATTAATTACTCAGAGCAACTCCAACCGTCCCAAGGTCAAACCCACCTAAAGATTCAAAACATTTTGAACAATCTATCCGTCTTAAGCACATGGAATAGCTCCACCGATTTGTGCAGTAGTTTTGTCCAAATAATTCTCTTTTTACATTTAGGAAAAATACACTTGTATAGCCAAACTTTCGCGTTTTTGCCAATAATAGCCAATTTTGGAGAAATACCACTTATAGCCACTTCCGTTCAATTCTTTAACGGTGTCAGCTAACAAGCTGACTGGACTAACGACTTTGCTGATTTGGCGACATTTCATCAATAACACTGCCACGTAGATTAATAAATAAATAAAAATTAATGAAAATAAAAACAATTAAAGACCATTTTTAATTAAAAACTCCACTTCCACCTACCTCTGTATGCTCCATCAGCGTCCCCATCCTCCATGCTCCAAGAACCCGCAAACCTTCTTCCTTTCAAAGCCAAAATCCCAAAAAATCTGTCCACCTACCCTCTGCTCCATCATCGTCCACATTCTCCACTACTCCAAGAACCCCAAACCCTTCTCCATTTCAAAGCCAAGAACCCCAATTCCCTACACCTACCCCCTCCTCTGCTGAGATTATCTAAACTCCTAAAAAAATCCCCACCCAAAACTCTCCCAATCCTCTTCTCCAACCCCAACTTCAAATCAATGTTCAATCCTCGTCGCCTACTCCCACCCCTTCCGCCGCGCCGTCCAGATCTGCTTTTCAGGATGAAGAACTCGTTCGAGGGTCTTTAATCTGGCGAGATTGCAGTTCATACGCCATAGTCGGCAAGAACATTGTTGTGCGATTTCTGATTTCAAATTTCGATGGTGGGTCTGGCAATGGTAGAGCATTGGGGGAGGGGGTGCTAGCGAGGAAGTGGAAGCGACTTTTGGCCATGGCGATCTTGTTTTTTGTCTACGACGGTGGTGAGAAACAAGGGCGTTTCGGAATAGAGAGAGGTCGAAGGCTGGACTTCCTCGCTGGGTTCTTCAGCTGGGGTCCTTGGATATACTTCTACCGTTGATTTCGTCTTTGGCAGGGGTGATGAATCGACGACGACGACGATGCAAAGGACGCTGGAAGCTGCCGGATTCTTGTCGCAATACAAAGAGAGATTTTCTACAAAAAAAAAAAAAAATAGGAGAGATTAAATGAAATTCTGCATACAAAATTTTTTTTTTAATTTTAAAACATGACGTGGCAGCCATGTGGTATGGTGAGTCTATGTGGACATTATGTGTCGTCTAGGAGGAAGCCACATCAGCCTGACGTCTATTTAACTGACGGAATCGTTAACGATGTTAAATTATTTGACGAAAATGGCTAAATTTGTCAAACAAGTTATTAAAATGTGGTTATATCTGGTATTTTCTCAAAAGTGACTATTATTGTCACAAACGCGAAATTTTTGGCTATAGAAGTGTATTTTGCCTTACATTTATCATCGTTGCTAGTCGAGATCTGCATCCCACCTGATATGTCTCGATGGAGAAGCCGACAACTCAACCGGAACAGGCAGCGACAACCTCGGCCGGGGGCATTATTCCCTGTGGGTTTTGGTGGGGATAAGACATTTTTATTTGTAAATGTATTCATGTGGAAAATTTAAAACATTAAATTTTAATTTTTTATTATTTTTATGTCACGTTAATAGTTTAACGGTCAACTATAAGAGTTGACGGTCACATCAACAAAAGTTAACGAAGAGTGACCAAACTTGAACTGTTAAACAAATTTTAGTGACCATAAATGGAATAAACTAATTTGAATGGCAAACGTGAAATTATTTAGTAATTTCAGTCACCAAACTTGCAATTTACCCCTTATAAATCTCTCTTAATCTCCTTCTTCGCCACATATTGTTTTGTCTTCTGATCTAAGCTCTCTTTCTTCCTTCTTAATCAACTCCGCCTGAGTCAATCGCTCGCCGGCGGCCTTCACTGATCCAGTCGGTGCGGATTACAACTTCCCGGGAGACTGGCAGTTAAGAGATTTCAATATAAAAGACCAGTCAGTTTCCCCATTGCCAAGCCCATCTCCTCCAGTTCAATTGGCACTCGCTGCTGGCTGCGTCTCTGCAACTTTTCCCCCGGTAGTCGCCTCATTACCGGTGAGTTAGATTTGGACACTGCTTTATACGAGTGCTTGTTTGCTTCACTTGGAATTCATTCTGGTGATAGCTTTTTCCCCCTAAATCCAATTGGCGATCTTGTTCTACACAGGTTTGTTCCTTGAGAGAAAATGGGATCCTCAGATTGTCAGCGCTCTAGATCAGGTAAATGCTTGTGTGACTGCCATTTTGCTGAACTTGGAACTGAACTCCTCTGCTGTCCAATTATTTGTGAAATTCAGTGCATTGCAGAACTTTGAATCCGCTTGACTTAGGGTTGGACGAGTGAGTAATCATATTAGTATGCATTAATTTAGATGATGGAACCAAATAAATTTTGAATCTGTTGGGTAGATGTTTTCCATTGCTCTGTGGTCTACTGCAACGAAGTTGTGGTGTTTGAATGGCAGCTACTGTGTTCTGTTTGCAGAGAGATCTCCTTTCTTGTCCGACAAATCAGCCAAGGTCTTTGTAGCCGGCCATCGTGGACTCGTGGGTTCTGCCATCGTCCGGAAGCTCCAGTCTCTGGGGTTCGCCAACCTCCTACTCCGAACCCACTCTGAGCTCGATCTCACTCGTCAAGCCGATGTGGAGTCATTCTTTGCTGCTGAAAAGCCAGACTTTGTGATCCTGGCAGCTGCCAAAGTCGGTGGCATTCACGCCAACAACACATACCCTGCGGATTTCATAGCCATTAATCTCCAGATCCAGACCAACGTCATCGACTCTGCTTACAAGCATGGCGTCAAGAAGCTCCTCTTTCTGGGCTCATCCTGCATCTACCCGAAACTGGCCCCTCAGCCTATCCCGGAAGAGGCTTTGCTCACTGGGTCTTTAGAGCCGACGAACGAGTGGTATGCGGTGGCCAAGATCGCTGGCATCAAGATGTGTCAGGGTTACAGGATTCAGTACAGCTGGGATGCAATCTCTGGGATGCCAACGAACTTGTACGGACCCAACGACAATTTCCACCCTGAGAATTCACACGTCTTGCCAGCATTGATGAGGAGGTTTCACGAGGCGAAGGTGAATGGCGCGAAGGAAGTGGTGGTGTGGGGGACGGGGAGCCCGTTGAGGGAGTTCCTTCATGTGGATGATTTGGCTGACGCGGTGGTTTTTATGATGGAGGAGTACAGTGGGTTGGAGCATCTCAATGTTGGGAGTGGGAAGGAAGTGAGCATTAAGGAGCTTGCAGAGTTGGTGAAGGAAGTAGTTGGGTTTGAAGGGGAACTTGTTTGGGACAGCTCGAAGCCAGATGGAACTCCGAGGAAGTTGATGGATAGCTCGAAGCTGCTGGGAATGGGTTGGAAGCCGAAGGTTTCGCTTAGGGATGGCCTGGTTGATACTTACAAGTGGTACACAGCCAATGCAGTAACCAAGCAATGATGGGAGGTACAATTTGACATATTCTGCTCTGAGACTTGTTACGACAACATTTTGACGGCCATTTTATCTTAGAAATACTACATTCGAGATTTATGTAATGGGTTGATGTTCGGCATAATTATATCAAGTGGAAAAGCTTTTGTGTTATTGTGTTTGTGATGGAGATTGAGCTGCTGCTGCTGCTGCTATGTGGTAGATCAGAAAAAAGTCTGTCCTTTTAGTGCTATTGTATCGTTCTATTAATCTAAATAATAATAATGGTTCTCATCTCGTTTCGTTGAGCATATAGTTGGTTTGGTGAATTAGGACAATTAATCAGCTGTTGTCGTGATTGGAATTGAGGTAGCAAAAGAAAATCATGAAGCACAAATGCTGCAGAATAGGTTACTGTGTCCAAGTATGTGGCTTAATTTGGTCTCTCGGTGGGCACTGAGAGAGACATTTTACACGGTTGTGAAGGTCTCTCTCTAGTGTCCAAGATCCAAGTCGTTTGTAAAGTTCATATTTTGTACTGTGATACCAGAGCTCGAAAGACGGTTGTCCCTGTAATTTGATTGATGAGAGTTGTTGTCACGAACGTGTTGGTCCGGAGTTGGCTTAGTTATAAGGGTGATCAATGGACAACGACATCGGAGTTGACGAGTTGTTTTGCCGTCGGGGAGTCGGCGGCGATTTGATTGCACCAAGTCAAGATCTTGAAGTCTGCATAAATGATTTGAAGAGTTAATGCATCATCTCAAGTCGGAAACTGCAAGCGTACCAAGATCAACATCAAAGATAGCAACCCATCACCTAAAGCTTCAGACTTAATTCAGCCGTAACTCCTACAAATTAAACAGTGACTAACATTAATGGTGAAACTTAACCACCAGCGAAGGAAAGCAAGCATCAAAAGGAAGCGCGCGCAACGTGTCTTCAACCCGACCCCGGAAATTCAATGGAGGGATGTCCTCCAATAGAATTTAAATTAGGCAAAATACAACTGTATATCCACAACTATCAGGTTTGTGACAAATATATCCACAACTATCGAAATACACGAAATATCTATTTCCGTCCACTCCGTTAACTCCGTCAGTTAACTTGATGACTGGACAAACGATTGATGCTTAGTTGACGTATTTCTGACCCCACTGAATGACGTGGATTAAAAGAAACAAATAAAAATAAAGTAAAAAAACTTTTTCGATTCATTTTCCGTTCCACGACCTCTTCCCTCTCTCTCATCGCCCTCCTCCCACCTCCACCTCCACTGCCACCACTCTACCTCTTCTCTCCTCCTAAACCTTCTTTCTCTCTTTCAATCTTAATCAACCGGCGCCGACGCTAACAACCACAACACTATCGTCGTCCTCGAGTTTCCATTTCAACCGCCGACATTGTCGTCAATCGGACCTCGCTGCTGCAGCCTTCAGATCCCGCCGCCATCGTCGTCAATTGGACCTCGCTGCTTGGGCACTCGTGCAGGCCGTGACCCATTACACAGACCTGAATGTTCTTGCAGAGGTGAGATGTGGGTTTGGGTAAATCCATATTTTTATTTATGTTCTCTGTTAGCAACCTCTGCATCTTCCAAGAACCGGCGACCACCTCCGACTCGGCTCCCAACTCCTCTTCATCGCCTCTTCCCCAACGGCCACCGCCGAATTTGCCTCCCTTTTTGCCCCCGAAGCAGCTGCCGTACCCAGATCCTCTGTCGCCAGGTCCAGGGCTGGAGCTCCCCGCCGCGGCGAGAGATCAAGCGGCGACGAATTCGAAGAGCGGAGTGAAGGAGGCGTAACGGCAGCGATGGTTCCTTCAGCTGAAGGGAAGATGTGAAAGATGAAGAGGAATCCCTCTGGTACTGGTGGAGATTATTTTTCAGATTGTTGTTACTACCCTCCGATTGCTTGTGCGGCGGTGGCGATGGTTCCTTCGGCTGCCTTAGTGCGTGAAGGTGAACTCGGAGAAGGTAAGAGAGAGAGAGGCACGTTTCTCCAGGGTATAAGAAAGAAAAAAATTAATTAATTATTTATTTATTTGCTGACGTGGCGTCCACATGTGAAATTTTGATGACTAGGAGCTTACGTGTGGGATGGGTATGGTCCTAGTCAGCGTTCCGTCGCATTAACTGACGCCGTAACAAATGGCGTTAAAGTTTGTAATAGAAATGGATAGATTTGTCACACAACCCTCCGATTTTTGGATATTTCGTGTATTTTGATAGTTGTGGATATATTTGTCACAAACGTGATAGTTGTGGTTATACAACTGTATTTTGCCTTTAAATTAAAATAATAATTTTACTTAATTTGTGAAAAGAAATAATTCGACTTAAATAAGTTACAACAAAGCACTAACAATATTTCAAGTTATACTCGGTCAACAAATATCTTTTGACATGTGACTCTGGACAATAATTCAAAAATTAATCACCTATATTAGATTGTAAAACATGTTCTTCATGTAGCGTAAAGCTGAAAAGGTCTTCCAACAATGCAATTGCAACCAATAAAATTAATACTACTTTCGCAAGCAAATACACCATTGTATATAATATATTCTCTTTATTGCATGTATCTTTCCCGCGATCACATTGGTCCTCTACTCGATTGACCGAAATCTTTGAGAGCGATAACTCCATACTCCATCCTTTTGATCGTATTGAGGTAAGGCATGCACTTAACCAGATTGGTACTAGGTAATATCCTGGACAGATGGGGTTTCGGTTCTTTTATGGGGTTTCGGTTCTTTTCTACCGCAAGAATGGCCGATTATGGAAGAAGAGGTGATAGACTTCGTACTCACAATTATAGGCGTCAATCGGGCGGGTTCGGGCTGGATTCAATCGAGTTGCTGGTTAATTGGGTTTCGGGTTTATCGAGTTGCGAATTCATCGGGTTCGAGTTTATCGGGTACGGATTCAAATGGGTTGCGGGTTAGTCGAGTTCGGGTTCATCGAGTTCGGGTTCAATCGGATTGCGGGTTCGCCGGGTTTTGGATCGGGCCTATTGTGGGCGGATCGGGTTGCAGGTTGTTCAGGTCAGCGCATCGAGTAACTTACTCCTTGCTCTTTACCAACTTACACATTTTATCACGCTAATTTAAAATATTTTCTCAATTTTTAACCAATTTCTTTCTACCTCGTATATGTACTTAATTTAAAATAATAATAAAAACTAACCAAAATGTTGAAGCAATTATTTGTATGACTTGCACATTTGTTATGTAATTAATCGTAATTGGTAAACTACACTAGCTAATAGTAAAGATGATATCAACATTTGCAACCAAAAGATACCATTAATTGTTTATTTGATATTTTAATATTATTTCAGTAGTAATTGGTTTTAAGTATCTCGTTTAATATAACCATGCAAATGTGGTATTTGGCATGTGGTATTGGGCAAAAACAAAGTGGTAAAATGAGTTATTTCGAAATAACTCATTGCCAAAATAACTTCATTGAACTGTTTCCAAACGAGTTATTTGTAAAATTGTTCGAATTACCCTAAAATTGAACCATTAAAGATTAACTATCAGATTTAGTAAAATTGTTGTGACTTCAATCATAACTTACTCAATAACGTATATCCTATACACTTAACCTCACCCTCAATCGCCAATATTAAGATAGTATATGTTATTGATCGTATACCCTGAACCAATACATTATACACTAACCACATACCCTATACCCTAACCATATATAGTTCTGATTTTGCTAGTATAGTTAATTTAAAGTGAAATTCATACTTTGATTTTCAAAACATAGATAAAAAATTGACATTTGCTATACCCTTACCATATATTCTATACTCTACATCATATACCCTATATTCTAACCACGTACAATAGATGTAGACGCATAGAAAACATGTAGACAAATTTAGTGAATTTTTGAAAACTAATGATTGTTGTAACTAATGGTTAATTTAGTTATTAGACTATAAACAATTATATATATATGTGGCGACTGCTTCGGTGCACTCACAAAAATGAGTGTGTTCAATGCACCCAACTAAAAAACGCTTAAGGTGTCTGATTTTGAATTTTAATTTGTAGAATTAGTGTAATATGATGATATAACATATGATAACAATTAATTAGCGGATTACCCTAAGCCCTAGACCTCCAATTTTGAGTTCTATCAGTAAACCCCAAATTGTAAACCTAACCCTAACCCTAAATCTCTAAACTCTAAATCCTTCAAATTAAAGAAAATCTTCAATGGTTTTTGGGCAAATTCATGTGCGTTATTGTTCATCACATCATAAGTGATGATTGACATAAATCGCATGTTTAAAATGACGGTTTGCACCCAAAAAATTGAGTGCACCGAATACGCCACTATATATATATATATATATATATATATATATATATATATATATATTAATTTTCAAAGCATATAAGATTAAATTTAATTAGTCAAGCCCTCCATATAAAAATTTAAAATTAATATTTCAAAGACTAAAATTTTGAAAAATCAAAAAGTTGAAAACACCAAAAAAAATTCTTCTTTCTTTTCACAAAAAAATTATTAAAATTCCTTTCCTCATTTCTCCTTTCATAAATTAGAAACACTCAATTTTCTTTGCTCTTTCTCTTTTATAAAATTGAAATAACCAAATTTCCCTCCTCTTTCTCTTCCATACAATTGAAAAACCAAATTTCCCTCTTCCTTCCTTCCTTCCTTCCACAAAAAGTTAAAAAATAAAAATTTCCCTCACTATTTCTCTTTCATAATCAAAAGAACCAAATTTTGTCACTTCTTTCTCTTTCCACAAATAAAAAACACCAAAATTCCTTCTTCTTTCTTTTTTCAAAAATTCAAACAACTAAATTTCTCTATTCTTTCTCTTCCCAAAAAGTTGAATACACCAAATTTTTTCTCTTTTCTTTTAAAAGCATCAAATTACCAAATAAATTATTTTATTTTATTTATAACTTTTCGAATATTTAAATTAACCAAAATTTTAATTATATATTATATAAATATTGTCCATGATCTCAATTATTAATTCTTCATTATTAATATTGACATTGTGCTGATTATATATATTTTTTTTTAATTTTGTTAAAGAACTTAGTGTTCAAGTGACCTTCATGTTTCAATTTGTATAATTTTCTTAAAATACATAATATCAAGTAAGTTTCGTATTCTTTGAATTCCCTATACAAAATGACAAAGATACGTTAACAGCCTAAGATGTTTGGCACAAGGAGAACTTCGAAGCCGTCTGGAGACACAGCCCTTGCATAGAGACCATTCTCAAGAAATGCGGGAAGAGTCCCAAAGCCCTGAATGGTATTAAACAAGAAGGTCAAAAAAGGAGAGGTCGAGATCCCCATCCAGGAACAAAGTCATCTCCCCCCATAGGCAGTCTCCCGCCTACAGAGCTCCACGCAACGACGAAGACCTAATGGAAATCATAACCATCGCGGGAGGCAGAAAGCGCCCAAGATCGGAGGGAGACCGCAAAGCCTAGTGCCTCACCGTCCAACGCGAAGTGTCAACCGACGTCACCTTCTTACCGACCGAGTTGGCCAAAGAAGAAAACACAGAGGACCCCTTGGCCATCTCCTTCAGAACCGCCAAGTTCATGCTCACCCAGGCTCTAATAGATAACGCGAGCTTCGCAGATATCCTCTTTTACTCCGCACTCAAGGGTATGAAGAAGAGCATCCAAGACCTCAACCCCTCCAAGTTCATGCTCACCCAGGCCCTAATAGATAACGAGAGCTTCGCAGATATCCTCTTTTACTCCGCACTCAAGGGTATGAAGAAGAGCATCCAAGACCTCAGCCCCTCCAACACCAGCTTGGTAGGATTCTCATATACAAAGGTCTGTGTCCTCGAATCAATCACGCTCAAGGTCACCAAAAGAGAGGGCGGGATCATGAAAACTCGTCCGGTGGAGTTCCACGTAGCGTACTGTCCCTTGGCTTACAACTCCATCCCGGGGCCAGTTTCCTTGCGTCCTTCGAAGCAGTCGCCTCCATATGCCACCATATGCTGAAATTCCCTAGCAGAGGGGAAACATGACGCATCCGAGGCAACCTAAAAGAAGCCAATGAATTCTACCAAGCGACCATTGAGCACCTCGAGGTCGACCTCATCGACTCAAGAGGAGACGTCCTACGTCCCGAAGTGGTCGAGGGCAACATAGCGATAGCTCTAAACGAAGAGAGACCGGAAAGGATAGTACGCATTTCGGCACACTTTTCCAAAGAAGAGGCACAAAAGTTTCTCACGCTCCTTAGAGAGTTCCAAGACCTCTTCGCAGGGGGACCGGAGGACATGCCCAGCGCTCCCTGTAGGATCGCCGAACATCGGCTCTCTGTGAAGCCCAAAGCGCGACCAATACAACAACGAAGAAGACACTTGTCATTAGAGAGGCAAATGGCTCTCGAAGAATAGGTGTGGCGTCTATTCAAAGCTTGCTTCATCCGGGAAGTACAATACCCCACATGGCTCTCAAACGCGGTCTTTGTATGCAAGGGAGGGGGCGCCTGGAGGATGTGTATTGACTTCACCAACCTCAATGGGGCGTGTCCCAAGAATGCATATTCCCTTCCCCGCATTAATTAACTAATCGACGGAACCGCCAACCATGAAGCACTGTACTTCTTGGATATGTTTTCTGGATATCACCAAATCAGAATGGCAGAAAGCGACAAAGAGCTAACCACTTTCATGACTCCCATGGGTAACTTCTTCTATGTTGTCATGCCTTATGATTAAAAAATGCAGGAGCGATCTCCCAGAGGATAGTTGATGCGGTCTTCAAACACCATATGGGGAGGAATATCGAAGCATATGTAGATGATGATCTAGTCAAGAGCAAGAAGGCTGGCGACCACCTATCTGATGTGAGAGAGACCTTCAAGAACCTACGACGGAAAAACCTCAGGCTCAACCACTCAAGTGCATCTTTGGAGCAAGAGCGGGAAAGTTTCTAGGTTTCATGATCATGAAGAGGGGGATTGTAACACCCCGTTCCGGCAAAACCCATATTTCGATCGCTAGAAAGTTCGCGATTTAAGATCGAGCGTTTTAACAATATTTCGGTGAAAATCGGATTATCGATCGATCGGATAAGTATACGTATTAATTATATATATATTATATATATATATATATATATTATATATATATAACCTGTCCATTTAAATCCCCCACCGTTTCATTTTTCATTTCCCCATCTTCTTCTTCTTTCTTTTCGGACCGAGAGCAAGAGAAGCAAGCGCACACAGGAAGCGTCTGTGCAAAAATTCCCAAGCTCAAAATCTTGAGCTCTAGTGATCCAAAAATCCCGAATTTCTCGAATTCCCGATAAGCCAAATTAGGGTTTCGGAGTATCCGGAAGCCGGATTGAGCCCAAATTTCATATACGAGCTTCCTGCAGCGAGGGGATATTAGGACGGTCTCGGATTTTAATTCGGGGTTCGTTCGTGAAATTGATGTTTTAGTACCGGAGGCTAGAACCGGTGTTTGAACGACCAGAACTGGTGAGGGATTAGCACGGCATACCGGGTTTGTCGTATCACGATAATTATATTGATGCTTAGAATTGACCTAGGTGAACTAGAATGGCATGATTAGGGGTGTATGGATTTTTGTGCTATATGATGAACCCTGGACTGTTGTATGATATTATTGACTTGCCCTAATCGATATGAACTTTGTTTATGTGGATGATTGCATACATGTTGCCATTTGTGGCTTAACTGTTTATATGACTTCATGGTTGTTCGATAAGGGGTTTTGACATGGCGTGATATTATGGTTGTATTTGGATCCATAAGTGGTGGAATAAACTTCCCAAGGTGATATTATGATTTTTAAGGAGGATGACTTGCACGAGGGTTTATCCCGAGGAAGTGCAATTATACGACTCCTGATTTACCTATGTTGAGCCAATTGTGGCCTGGTCAAGTACATGTGCAAGTAACGAATTATGATTAAGCAAGATGAGACATGAATCATGTATAAGGATACCAAATATGAGTGTTGTGGTCTCACGGTCAACTACATAATAATTAGGGCTCCCTATGCTATTACTCTATTATGATATGTATGATAGTCACACCTCTCATGTGGTGGTGACTGAAGAATTCTTATGAGATATGACCACACCCAGAGCGGTGTCGGGGTATGACTACACCCATAGTGGTGTGGGGTATGTATGACCACATCCGACGGGATGTTGGGGTATGTATGACAACATCCGACGGGATGTGGGGTATGTTTCCCGGGAGAGTTATTAGCATGGGAGTAGCCAGGCGCCTATGATTAAAACATGATAAGATGCATATGCATAAGTCAAAGTGGTTGAGTCTTTTGCTTATTGGGATATGAGGATGGCTGAGGTCCGATCCTAGTGTTTTGGCTTGTTTGCTAGATGTATGGTAGGGGTATGCTCTATTATGAACTCACGATGCTATGATTATCTCACTCAGCTATGAGCTGACCCTCTTTTATTCTTCTTCTCTGCTTATGCTATGTGTAAGCAGATCATCAGCAACAGCAATAGATAAGTGTTAGGTGGGAGAGGAGCTAGAGTTGAAGCCAGGATGAGGTATGGTCTTCAACTATTCTGTGCTTGGACTACTACTCGGGATTTTGGCCAGTCATCCACACCTTTTTGTAAAAAAATGTTTTGAGAACGTTTTTCATGTGCATACTAGCTTCTGATCTAGTGAGAGATATCCACATGTGTGGAAAGTTGATGATATGTGTATATTTGTGTAACTGTGTAAGTTGTGACGATTATGGTATGTATAAGTATGGTATGCAGTTGTGTAGTATGAAACTGTGACTATGGCTATGAAAAGCCAATGCATATGGTTGTGAGTATATGTGTTTGTCTATGAATGCATGGATTCAGATGAATTATTTTGCAGGATCATATGGAAGAACTGTTAGCCCATTACGCGAGTAATTCATGTCGAAATTTTATTTAGGTAAATTTTGATAATTAATGTAACACCCGAGATTAATTCCGCTGCAATTGTATGAACAATATGATTAGGCAAAACGTATAGGGTAGGGTGTTACAGTTTGGTATCAGGGCTCGGTTCCCTCTTTTTGCTGTTATGGCGTACTGTACCCTATGGGAGGTTAAACACTCCTAAGGAGGGGAGTACCCCATAATGACTTAAACTGGGAATTGAGTTTTATATGATTATGTGTATTGGTATATTGGATTAAATTACCTGCATCATGGTTTTCAAAATTGAGTTTTGAATGTATTTGTTTTCAAGTAATTATTTCGGGAAAATTTTGTTTTAACCAAGTGAGAGAGTGGGTGAAGAATAAATTTTGTGTGGATCAATCTAAGGCCAATATTTCCTTGTAGCTCGCACGGAAGTTGTGAAAATGTTCCTACTAACCAGTCGAGAGGAGTGGGGGCGGTTGATGCAAGACCGCCAGTATTAGACTATGCAAAGATGAAGAGTTTGGGTGGTAGGGACTTTAAAGGAGATGTGAGTCCGGATGCTGTGGTAGAGTGGTTGAGGGAGATGGAAGATGTGTTTGAATATCTTTATGCGACCCTAGAGGAAAAAGTACAATATGTTGTTTTTCTCCTAAAGGGGTACGCGAGGAGCTGGTGGTCCTCAGTCTCTAGAGTTAATGGTGAACGAGTTCAATTCACCTGGGAGGAGTTCCTGAAGGCCTTTAAGACAGAGTTTCTTCCCGAAGCTTTTATCAGGGCAAAGAATAATGAATTCGCCAACCTTAAGCAGGAGAACATGACAGTTACTGAGTACACCATCAAGTTTGTTCGACTACTCTACTTTGAGGATGGGTTGGCAGATACTGAGCATAAGAAGAAGATGAGATACTTGCATGGTCTGCGCCGAGTGCGAGAGGAGTGGGGCGCCGAGTGCGACAAGGCTTTTGCACTGCTAACAAACCAGCTTTGCTCCCCACAAGTGTTGAGCGCCTCTGTCCCCAGGGAGCGTCTGTACCTCTACCTGGCAGTTTCCGAGCAGGGGAACAACACCCATAAACAATCATTCAATTCAAACAAAAACTACATGTTAAATAGTTAGGGTTTCACAACACCCAAGTGAAAAAGAGTACTACTCCATGTTAGAAAGGGGAAGAACACAAGAGGAAGAGGTAGAAACCATCATGAACATGTCTCCAATCTCCTCTAAGCTTGTGTTGATCTTCTCTTGGGGAGATCCTTCCCAATTCACCACTTGGAGCAAACCCTAGCCTTCCTTCTTACTTGGTTCGTCCTTACTCTCTCTAAAATCTAAAGAAGAAGACACTTTCTCACACTTGGGCTACCCCTGCTCTCTTCCTTTCAGCTCACATTATATACCAGGATCGGCCGTGAACTCTTCAACACGTCCGTGAACACAGAGTGCGATGTCGAAACGCATCGCTTCGCTATCAGGAGTTCACAGTTTGGCCTCAATCTTCACGGTCTTGTTGATCGTGAACTCGTCTAGCGGTAGTAACTGCGGATTTCTCCCTGGACGCTTCGCAGTTCACGGTTTTGGGCCTCAGTTCACGACCTTAGTGGACCGTGAACTCCAATGCTAACCCGTGAACTCTGCCTGGATCACCCTCTTTGCCCGGTCTTCGCCTTTTTTCATCCAAATTTCGACTCCGGGGCTAGTTTCACCTATTGGATCATGAAACTCACTAAAACACACAAAACCTAGCGTAAACCCACCCTTTTAGGAGTCCAAATACTACAAATGCCTAAGGGAAACAGGATAAAATGTGTGCAAATGGCTGAAAAACAGACTGGAGAGTGGTCATCGGAGCTTCGTCGAAAGCTCGTCGAAGACTCGCCGTCGGCGACCTTGCCGGATAAAACTTGCCCCAGATCTCCCCAAAATTGCAGCACATGCCGGTTTTGATTTGGGGATAATGGGTATGCAATTGGTTTTGGGTTTTGCTCGCCTGAAATGGGTGATAATTTGAAAAATTGTCGGATTTTCGCGATTTTCCGGCGTGAAGTCGAATTTTTCCAGTGAGAATTGGGTCGTGAAGTAAAGAGTCGCCGTTCTCGCCCCTTTTATAGGCAAAACAAGGCATTCACGGACGGGTTGGATTGTTCACGGTCTTATAGACCGTGAACACTCAAGTCCGTCCGTGAACTGGGGTTGGTCGACAGGTGGTTCACATGCAAAGGTGCCTGGTTCACGGACACGTTTACTTGTTCACGGTCTTGTAAGACCGTGAACACTCAAGTACGTCCGTGAACTCGAGTGAAAACAGGGAACTTCTGAGAAAATTTTGAATCGACCTATTCCACCGTGCCTCCTAACGATCACAACACAACCTTAAATCGCAAAACCTCAAAACTTGGCACGGGCATACCACTTAACCACTTGAACTTTTCACTTGACATAAAAACGAAAATAAGGAAAAGAAAACAAACCTCCATTGGTTTGCCTGCCAACAAGCGCTAATTTATCGTCATTAGCTTGACGGTTGAGGATCAATCACGTCTTGGAACGTCATGCCACCGAGAGTGGATCCTCCACGCTCTCGTTGCGAGGCTTGTAGCCTCCCATCTTATTCTCCATTAGGTGCCCCTCTTGGCCGGCCAACTTAGCTTTGGCCTTCTCCTTCATTCGGGCCAAAGCTTGTTTCATATTTTGCCTCCAAGCATTCTTTTTCTTTTCCTTGGGCATTGTACCCTCCTTGAGTTCCTGCTCAACATCACCACAAGCGATACAAGTAATAGTGGGGTTCGCCTTGAGAGGCTCTCCTCCACTCACATTCACATCATTTGAAACCAATTCCTTCATTTCCTCACTTCTAGCCTTAGGGTCAGTTTCAAGAGTGATTCTCTGTTCACCATCCCTCAGAATTAAGGTCCCCTCATTAACATCTATTAATGCCTTGGCAGTGGGGAGGAAGGGGCGACCGAGTATGAGTTGCATATCTGAGTCCTCACTTATGTCGAGAATCAAGAAATCAGTCGGATAGCAAAACTTTCCTACTCGCACCAACATGTCCTCCACAATGCCTCTCGGGCTAATGACCGAACGGTTGGCTAAAGTGATGCTAAGCTTAGTGGTCTTAAGTTCACCTACTTCTAACTTTTTGAAAAGCTTATAGGGAATCACATTAACACTAGCTCCTAGATCTGCCAAGGCACTTTCTATATGATGGTTACCAATACCAAGAGGGATAGTAAAGCTACCTAGGTCGGACCGCTTTTTGGGAAAGTGGTTAAGGATGAAAGTCGAACACTCCTCGCCAAGAGTCACGTTGGCGAGGCCTTCAAACTTTGGTTTCTTGGTGAGGAATCCTTTGAGGTACTTTTCATACCTCGGCATTTGAGCCATAAGTGGAGCGCTTGCTCCCACACTTCTCACTCCTCTATCATTACTTCTTTTCCCGCTTCTCGTCAAACCCCAATTGTACCCCTTGAGGGCCATGTCTTCGAGCAATTCGGTCACTTGCGGTGGAGTCATATTCATCAATTTCCCTTGACACAGAGATTCAATGAGATTTTTGTCTTCTTGGATTAGTCCACCATAGAAATTTTCAATCTGAAACTGCTCCTCGAACTCATGGTGAGGGCATTGAAGAAAGTAATTGTAGAATCCCTCCCAAGCATCCCTCAAGGTCTCGTCTTCTTCTTGCTCGAAATAGGTGATGTTCTTCCTCCACTCAGCCGTCTTCGAAGGCGGGCAGTAGCGGGTCATGAATTTGTTGAGAAGATCGTCCCATGAGGTGATTGAACGAGGCGGGCGGTTGTTTAGCCACTGGATTTCTTTCCCTGCAAGTGAATAGGGGAAAAGCCTCAGTTGCAAAGCTTCAGCCGACATGCCATTGATTTTAAAGCTCCCCGCGAGCTCGAGGAATCTCTGCACATGCTCTCTTGATGACTCGCTCGGAAGACCATGGAACAAAGCATTGTTTTGTATAATGGTCACGAGAGCCGGCTTGATCTTGAAATAGTTGGCCGCCACGGGAGGGTGTAGGATTGGCGATTGAATGTCTGCCAGCCGTGGGGCCATATAGTATCCCATTGTCCTCGAGACTTCCTCTTCCGCCACCACATCGTTTAGGTTATGAGCTTGGGCGGCTCCTGCTTCTCTTTAATTCCCCGCCATTTCTACTCCATTGTCGGGTTCACCTTCCACTTATTCAACTTCTACTCAACCAGCACCAGGACCAAACTGTTGTCCCCTTTCTTCACTTCTCCTCCTTGCCTTCGCTAGCTCCCTGTCCCGTGCTAGGAGTCGGAGAGTTCGCTTTATGTCCTCGTCACGTGGTATCAAAGGTGTCGGATTTCTACGAGCCATGCACCTCCCTACACACACTTAGAAAACAACACCAAGTCTAGCACAATCAAAGCACACACACTTTCAAACTTGGAAATTAAAAGCTAGATTAACACCAAACAACTTTTTCAAGATAATAGACCGTTGTTCCCTGAAACGGCGCCAAAAACTTGACTCGTCCCGGATATCACAATTAATTCCCGCCTATGGTCCTAGTATAAACCTTAGTAGGGTGCAATACATGGAAATATGTTTAAATATCGACTCGGGTCGGTCTGTGTAGCCCTACTTCAATTGTTTGAAACATTATCTAGCGAATCGGTTTTGTTTGAAAAGTTTTCTAATTAAAGTAAAGCAAGGCAAAAGTAAATGGTTTTGAAAGATCTATGTGAGAAGGATCACTTGGGTGTCGCTTCCCCCTAACTACTACCATGGCACGAGGAATTGAATTAATTGTTACGGGCAAGGTGACCTTGAACCGCTAGGAAATCCAACTATGGTCGAAGACCACACTATCGTTTGCCAAACCAAGGGATACATTATAGTCTACTCAAGTAGCCCTATTGGTTAAGGCAATCGATGGTTGAATTACTCTCTCACTCAACCCAATGGTTGGTCGGCCTAATTCAACATAGAGGTTTGTCCTACATTAACCTAGATAGGGGGCTTAAAAAGCCCAAGGAATCCCAACTCAATTGAGCCTCCCTTGAAAGGCGGTTTTCCCTTTAATCTAGGTTAGAATGGCCAATTTGATTGCTAAGCACAAACATGCACAATCAACATGAAAAATACCTCAATCATTGAATTAACAACACCCATAAACAATCATTCAATTCAAACAAAAACTACATGTTAAATAGTTAGGGTTTCACAACACCCAAGTGAAAAAGAGTACTACTCCATGTTAGAAAGGGGAAGAACACAAGAGGAAGAGGTAGAAACCATCATGAACATGTATACAATCTCCTCTAAGCTTGTGTTGATCTTCTCTTGGGGAGATCCTTCCCAATTCACCACTTGGAGCAAACCCTAGCCTTCCTTCTTACTTGGTTCGTCCTTACTCTCTCTAAAATCTAAAGAAGAAGACACTTTCTCACACTTGGGCTACCCCTGCTCTCTTCCTTTCAGCTCACATTATTTACCAGGATCGGCCGTGAACTCTTCAACACGTCCGTGAACACAGAGTGCGATGTCGAAACGCATCGCTTCGCTATCAGGAGTTCACAGTTTGGCCTCAATCTTCACGGTCTTGTTGATCGTGAACTCGTCTAGCGGTAGTAACTGCGGATTTCTCCATGGACGCTTCGCAGTTCACGGTTTTGGGCCTCAGTTCACGACCTTAGTGGACCGTGAACTCCAATGCTAACCCGTGAACTCTGCCTGGATCACCCTCTTTGCCCGGTCTTCGCCTTTTTTCATCCAACTTTCGACTCCGGGGCTAGTTTCACCTGTTGGATCATGAAACTCACTAAAACACACAAAACCTAGCGTAAACCCACCCTTTTAGGAGTCCAAATACTACAAACGCCTAAGGGAAACAGGGATAAAATGTGTGCAAATGGCTGAAAAACAGACTGGAGAGTGGTCATCGGAGCTTCGTCGAAAGCTCGTCGAAGACTCGCCGTCGGCGACCTTGCCGGATAAAACTTGCCCCAGATCTCCCCAAAATTGCAGCACATGCCGGTTTTGATTTGGGGATAATGGGTATGCAATTGGTTTTGGGTTTTGCTCGCCTGAAATGGGTGATAATTTGAAAAACCGTCTGATTTTTGCGATTTTCCGGCGTGAAGTCGAATTTTTCCAGTGAGAATTGGGTCGTGAAGTGAAGTGTCGCCGTTCACGCCCCTTTTATAGGCAAAACAAGGCATTCACGGACGGGTTGGATTGTTCACGGTCTTATAGACCGTGAACACTCAAGTCCGTCCGTGAACTGGGGTTGGTCGACAGGTGGTTCACATGCAAAGGTGCCTGGTTCACGGACACGTTTACTTGTTCACGGTCTTGTAAGACCGTGAACACTCAAGTACGTCCGTGAACTCGAGTGAAAACAGGGAACTTCTGAGAAAATTTTGAATCGACCTATTCCACCGTGCCTCCTAACGATCACAACACAACCTTAAATCGCAAAACCACAAAACTTGGCACGTGGATACCACTTGACCACTTGAACTTTTCACTTGACAAAAAAACGAAAATAAGGAAAAGAAAACAAACCTCCAATGGTTTGCCTCCCAACAAGCGCTAATTTATCGTCATTAGCTTGACGGTTGAGGATCAATCACGTCTTGGAACGTCATGCCACCGAGAGTGGATCCTCCACGCTCTCGGTGCGAGGCTTGTAGCCTCCCATCTTATTCTCCATTAGGTGCCCCTCTTGGCCGGCCAACTTAGCTTTGGCCTTCTCCTTCATTCGGGCCAAAGCTTGTTTCATATTTTGCCTCCAAGCATTCTTTTTCTTTTCCTTGGGCATTGTACCCTCCTTGAGTTCCTGCTCAACATCACCACAAGCGATACAAGTAATAGTGGGGTTCGCCTTGAGAGGCTCTCCTCCACTCACATTCACATCATTTGAAACCAATTCCTTCATTTCCTCACTTCTAGCCTTAGGGTCAGTTTCAAGAGTGATTCTCTGTTCACCATCCCTCAGAATTAAGGTCCCCTCATTAACATCTATTAATGCCTTGGCAGTGGCGAGGAAGGGACGACCGAGTATGAGTTGCATATCTGAGTCCTCACTTATGTCGAGAATCAAGAAATCAGTCGGATAGCAAAACTTTCCTACTCGCACCAACATGTCCTCCACAATGCCTCTCGGGCTAATGACCGAACGGTCGGCTAAAGTGATGCTAAGCTTAGTGGTCTTAAGTTCACCTACTTCTAAATTTTTGAAAAGATTATAGGGAATCACATTAACACTAGCTCCTAGATCTGCCAAGGCACTTTCTATATGATGGTTACCAATACCAAGAGGATAGTAAAGCTACCTAGGTCGGACCGCTTTTTGGGAAAGTGGTTAAGGATGAAAGTCGAACACTCCTCGCCAAGAGTCACGTTGGCGAGGCTTCAAACTTTGGTTTCTTGGTGAGGAATCCTTTGAGGTACTTTTCATACCTCGGCATTTGAGCCATAAGTGGAGCGCTTGCTCCCACACTTCTCACTCCTCTATCATTACTTCTTTTCCTGCTTCTCGTCAAACCCCAATTGTACCCCTTGAGGGCCATGTCTTCGAGCAATTCGGTCACTTGCGGTGGAGTCATATTCATCAATTTCCCTTGACACAGAGAGTCAATGAGAATTTTGTCTTCTTGGATTAGTCCACCATAGAAATTTTCAATCTGAAACTGCTCCTCAAACCCATGGTGAGGGCATTGAAGAAAGTAATTGTAGAATCCCTCCCAAGCATCCCTCAAGGTCTCGTCTACTTCTTGCTCGAAATAGGTGATGTTCTTCCTCCACTCAGCCGTCTTCGAAGGCGGGCATTAGCGGGTCATGAATTTGTTGAGAAGATCGTCCCATGAGGTGATTGAACGAGGCGGGCGGTTGTTTAGCCACTGGATTGCTTTCCCTGCAAGTGAATAGGGGAAAAGCCTCAGTTGCAAAGCTTCAGCCGGCATGCCATTGATTTTCAAGCTCCCCGCGAGCTCGAGGAATCTCTGCACATGCTCTCTTGATGACTCGCTCGGAAGACCATGGAACAAAGCATTGTTTTGTATAATGGTCACTAGAGCCGGCTTGATCTTGAAATAGTTGGCCGCCACGGGAGGGTGTAGGATTGGCGATTGAATGTCTGCCAGCCGTGGGGCCATATAGTATCCCATTGTCCTCGAGAATTCCTCTTCCGCCACCACATCGTTTAGGTTATGAGCTTGGGCGGCTCCTGCTTCTCTTTAGTTCCCCGCCATTTCTACTCCATTGTCGGGTTCAACTTCCACTTATTCAACTTCTACTCAACCAGCACCAGGACCAAACTGTTGTCCCCTTTCTTCACTTCTCCTCCTTGCCTTCGCTAGCTCCCTGTCCCGTGCTAGGAGTCGGAGAGTTCGCTTTATGTCCTCGTCACGTGGTATCAAAGGTGTCGGATTGCTACGAGCCATGCACCTCCCTACACACACTTAGAAAACAACACCAAGTCTAGCACAATCAAAGCACACACACTTTCAAAATTGGAAATTAAAAGCTAGATTAACACCAAACAACTTTTTCAAGATAATAGACCGTTGTTCCCTGAAACGGCGCCAAAAACTTGACTCGTCCCGGATATCACAATTAATTCCCGCCTATGGTCCTAGTATAAACCTTAGTAGGGTGCAATACATGGAAATATGTTTAAATATCGACTCGGGTTGGTCTGTGTAGCCCTACTTCAATTGTTTGAAACATTATCTAGCGAATCGGTTTTGTTTGAAAAGTTTTCTAATTAAAGTAAAGCAAGGCAAAAGTAAATGGTTTTGAAAGATCTATGTGAGAAGGATCACTTGGGTGTCGCTTCCCCCTAACTACTACCATGGCACGAGGAATTGAATTAATTGTTACGGGCAAGGTGACCTTGAACCGCTAGGAAATCCAACTATGGTCATAGACCACACTCTCGTTTGCCAAACCAAGGGATACATTATAGTCTACTCAAGTAGCCCTATTGGTTAAGGCAATCGATGGTTGAATTACTCTCTCACTCAACCCAATGGTTGGTCGGCCTAATTCAACATAGAGGTTTGTCCTACATTAACCTAGATAGGGGGCTTAAAAAGCCTAAGGAATCCCAACTCAATTGAGCCTCCCTTGAAAGGCGGTTTTCCCTCTAATCTAGGTTAGAATGGCCAATTTGATTGCTAAGCACAAACATGCACAATCAACATGAAAATACCTCAATCATTGAATTAACAACACCCATAAACAATCATTCAATTCACACAACAGCTACATGTCAAATAGTTAGGGTTTACAACACCCATGTGAAAAAGAATACTACTCAATGCTAGAAAGGGGAAGAACACAAGAGGAAGAAGTAGAAACCATCATAGAGATGCCTCCAATCTCCTCTAAGCTTGGGTTGACCTTCTCTTTGAGAGATTCTTCCCAATTCACCACTTGGAGCAAACCCTATAAGGAGAAGAGATTCTTCCCAAATCACCACTTGGAGCAAACCCTAGCCCTCCTTCTTCCTTGGTTCGTCCTTTCTCTATCTAAAATCTAAAGAAGAAGACACATTCTCACACTTAGGCTCTCCCTTCTCTCTTCCTTTCACCTCACATTATATACCAGGATCGGGCTCAGTTCACGGTCTCAATTCACGGCTGTGAATTCTTCAGCGCGTCCATGAACACAGAGCGCGATGTCGAAACGCGCCACTTCGCCATTAGGAGTTCACGGTTTGACCTCAATCTTCACGGTCTTGTTGACCGTGAACTCGTCTCGCGGTAGTAACTACAGATTTCTCCCTAGACGCATCGCGGTTCACGATTTTGCGCTTCAGTTCACGGCTATAGTGGACCGTGAACTTTGCCTGGATCACCCTCTTTGCCCAGTCTTCGCCTCTTTTCGTCCAACTTTCGACTTTGGGGCTGGTTTCACTTGTTGGATCCTGAAACACACTAAAACGCACAAAATCTAGCATAAAACCACCCTTTTAGGAGTCCAAATGCTACAAATGCCCAAGGGAAACGAGGATAACATGTGTGCAATTAGGCCCGAATCACATTGCCGAAGGATTCTCCCTCGAAACTACACCCTCAAAGGAGCACAATCAGATCTGGCGCCTGTTCACCGACGAAGCCGCGGGCAATACCGCCTCGGGGGCAGTAATAGTCATAGAGTCGCCACATGGAGTCGTCCATGAAATCTCACTAAGATTCAAAGACATCAAAACCAACTACGTCGCCGAATACAAAGCTCTCATCAATGGGCTCCGAATACTCTCCATGAAGTCGCCAAATGGAGTCGTCCATGAAATCTCACTAAGATTCAAAGACATCAAAACCAACAACGTCGCCGAATACAAAGCTCTCATCAATGGGCTCCGAATACTCTCCAACTTGGGTACGTCCGACGTGCACATATTCTCTGATTCTCTCATGGTGGTCAAACAGGTGCATGAAGCATTCGAAATCAAGGATGAAACGCTGGCAATTCTTGCAACCAAAGTCAGGAGCGCTCTGGCATAACTAAACACTTGGAATCTCCAGCACGTTCGATGGGAAGACAATCAACATGCCAATGCGCTCTCTAAACTGGAAACCACCATGGATTTCTAAGGGAATCGACATGTCACCGTCACAAGGGAGAGAGACTCACATGAAGAGGTCATGAGTATTGGAGGAACCATCGATTGGAGAACGCCGTTGATTCAATATATGGAACACGACATCGCTCTGCAACATCCAGTCGAGCGGAAGCTCCCCTGTACACAATGGTGGACGGTCAGCTATGCAAGAGGTTGTTATCGGGAGCATACCTGAAATGCCTCAAACCGGAAGAGGTGCGATGGACACTCAGAGTGATACACGAAGGGACGTGTGCCACACACGCTAGTCCACGATCGCTCGAAAGGACAGTCCTCCTATAAGGCTACTACTGGAAACAATCAAGAACGACGCATCAGACATCGCCCAGAGATGCCACGCCTTCAAGGTGAATGCCACCAGAGACCACCTCACCAGTTGCGAGCTACAAAGCGTGGTGGGGCCATGGTCGTTCGCTAGGTTGGGGCTTGATCTCTTGGGACCCTTTCCCACAGCCCCTCTCGTGAAGAAATACTAAGTGGTGGCGTTTATTTCACCAATTGGATCGAAGGGGAACCGCTGGAGACGATCACAAGTGCTAGAGTCCAAAAGTTCGTATTCAACAACATCAATGATCCGTTTCGGCATCCCACATTCGATCATCACATATCATGGAACGCAATTCGACTATAGGCCATCCGAGAATTTTTGTGAAAGAAACTGCATCGCATGCACCATGGCCTTAGTGGCATACCCACAGACCAACGGACAGGCGAAGTGTCCAACAAGCTCATACTCCAAGGACTGAAGAAACGTCTCCGGGACTCCAAGGGATCATGGACAACAGAGCTTCCACACATCTTATGGGCGCAGCACACCACACACAAGACGGCTACGGGTGAAACTCTTTTCACTCTAACTTATGGCTCCAAAGCCGCCGCCCCAGAAGAAATGAACCTACCCTCCCTCCGTGTCCAAGCATACTGCCCGGAAGACAACCACAAGAGATTGCTGGAACTGTTGGATATGGTAGATTCACGGCGCGATGCGGCCATGAAGGGGATCATAAATGAAAAAGCCAAAGTAGTTGCTTCCTACAACAAAAGGGTGAAATCGCGACCTCTCGAAGAGGGATACATGGTCCTCAAACGTGACTTCCAAAAGAAAGATGAACACGATAAGATGGCCGCAACCTGGGAAGTCCCTTTCCTCATTGGAGAAAAAATAGTTCCCAGCACTTTTTTTTTAAAGAAATCTGCTCTAGGCTTTATTACGAATGAGAAGCCATTACAGAATCCAGCTTCAGCTGGTCAATTACACTCATCGGGGGTCTGTCAAAACCAAATCCCGGTCTTGTTCCATCTCGTTTTCAAATGTGCCATTATGTGTGCCGCCTCATTCGCCGTTCGGTAGATAAGCCTGCAACCTCCATCTCCCAGATCTTCAAGAAGTCGCTTGATATTCCGACAGATTACTTCAAGCTTTGTTTGATCCCTATTCACCTCACGGATTCTGTTCAGCACCGCCTTACAATCCATCTCCAGAATGGGCAAACCGAGTTGGTGTTGTCTCACGAGTTGTAGTCCTAACTCGGCCGCCAGAGCTTCTCCGAATTCCGGATTTTGTTCACCTCGTACTCTCTTAGCTACCGCCATCAGAAACCTGCCCTCGGCGTCTCTAACCACCACCCCAAGTCTGCCCCCTTCCTCACACACTCCAGCATATGTGTTAAGCTTCACCTTCCCCTGAATAGGCTTCCCCCAGTGGCGCCCAACGGTGTTATGTTGCGGTGGGTGTAGAGCAGCTTGGTGTTGTTGATATTCGTCCAGCAAAGATGTTGCTCGTGGAACTATATCTTCCTCAGCCAACTTTGCCCCGTTAAACATGTGGGCGTTCCTCTCTTTTCATATCATCCATAGCATCATACTCCACTCATCAAGCTCCCTTTCAGAAACCGTCATCGCCACTTTCAACACCCATCCCATACTTAAGGCTTCCCCTCTCATCTCGAAGCAATGAGCCACCAGAGATTTGGGCCATAAACAGCTCGCCCATGCACACTGTGCGAAAGCATGTACTTGTGTCTCCTTCCCATCACAAAACGGGCATCTGTCCCCCCTATTCTCATTCCGGATTATCACATGATCCCCCGTTGCCAGAGAGTCCCTAGCGAAACGCCACATGAAGTGTTTGACCTTAGGAGGTACCATCATTCCCCACAACTTCTTCTATAGTACTAGGTCACCAGTTGAAGAATGTCCCTGCTCAAGTCGAGTTTCCTTTAGCCACCATCTGTATCCGTCACGAGCAGTATACACCCCATCCCTGCTGTCGGCCGAGATCAACCTGTCCGTTTCGAGGGAGCCGCGTAATGGAATCCGGGCAATGGCTTCCACCATTGAGGTTGGAAATCAGCTTTCTAGAAGGACCCTATCCCATTGCTCCTGCTCCTCGTCTATCAGCTCGAGTACCGCCAAGTCAACCGGCAAACCCATCGGGGGAGAATGAATAATAAATCATGGAGCCAAGGGTACCCAACAGTCACCCCAAATGCGAACTGTTGTTCTGTTACCTATTCGCCATCGCAGTCCATCGACGAGAAACTCCCGCGCGCTCATTAGACTTCTCCATACATAGCTTGGCTGATACCCCACCCTAGCATCCAGGATATCCACATTTTTATGATATTTAGACTTTAGGACATGTGCAATGAGTGACTGTGGACTACTATAGATACTCCAAAGCTGTCGAGCAAGAAGGGCTTTATTGAAACCTTTTAGGTCCCAGAAGCCAATCCCGCCTTCACTCTTCGGCAAGATCAGATTTTCTCTAGCTATCCAGGGTATACGCTTCTCCTCTGCTCGCTGACTGTAACACACTACCCTATACGTTTTGCCTAATCATATTGTTCATACAATTGCAGCGGAATTAATCTCGGGTGTTACATTAATTATCAAAACTTACCCAAATAAAATTTTGACATGAATTACTCGCGTAATGGGCTAAGAGTTCTTGCAACTTATCCTGCAAAATAATTCATCACAAACATATATACTCACAACCATATGCATTGGCTTTTCTTAGCCATAGTCACAATTTCATACTCCACAACTGTATACCTTACTAATACATGTCATAGTCGTCACAACCTACACTACTATACAAATATATACATTTCAACTTCCACACCTGTGGATATCTCACACCCCATCAGAAGCTAGTATGCACATGAAAAACGTTCTCGAAACAATTTTACAAAAAGGTGTGGATCATTGGCCAAAATCCCGAGTAGTATTCCAAGCACAGAATAGTTGAAGACCATACCTCATCCTGGCTTCAACTCTAGTTCCTCTCCCACCTAACACTTATCTACTGCTGCTGATGATGATCTGTTTACACATAGTATAAGCAGAGAAGAAGAATAAAAGAGGGTCAGCTCATAGCTGAGTGAAATAATCATAGCATCGTGAGTTCATAACAGAGCATATCCCTATCATACATCTAAAATTCAACCACCTTGACTTATGCATATGCATCTGATCATGTTTTAAGCATAGGCGCCTGGCTACTCCCATGCTAATTACTCTCCCGGGAATACGGACCAAACATCTCGTGGATGTGGTCATATCGGACCCACCATTGCCGGTGTAGTCATATCAGACCTGACACCACTCTGGGTGTGGTCATATCAGACTCAACACCACTCTGGGTGTGGTCATATCTCATGATGAATCAACGGTCAACACCGCATCAAGGGTGTGACATAACATATCATAACGGAGTAATAGCATGGGGAGCCCTAATTACTATGTAATTGACCATGAGACCAAAGTACTCTTACTTGGTATCCTTATACAGGATCCATATCTCATCTTGCTTAATCATAATTCGTTACTTGCACATGTACTTGACCTGGCCATACTTGGCTTAACATAGGTAAAACAGGAGTCGTATAATTTCACTTCCTCGGGATGAACCCTCGTGCAAGTCATCCTCCTTAAACATCATAATATCACCCTGGGAAGTAATTTCCCCACTTATGGATCCAAATACAACCATAATATCACCCCACGTCAAAACACCTTATCGAACAACCATGAAGTCATATCAACAGTTAAGCCACAAATGGCAACATGTATGCAATCATCAACATAAACAAGGTCCATATCGATGAGGGCAAGTCAATAATATCATACATCAGTCCAGCGTTCATCATATAGAACAAAAGTCCATACACCCCTAATCGTGCCATTCTAGTTCACCTAGGTCAATTATAAGCATCAATATAATTATCGTGATACGACAAACCCGGTATGCGTGCTAATCCCTCACCAGTTCTGATCGTTCAAACACCTGTTTAACCTTCCCTTACTAAAATGTCATTTCACGAACGAACCCCGAATTAAAATTCGAGACCGTCCTAATATCCCCTGCAGTATCCCCGTCAATATTAGTTCTAGGCTCCGGGTCAAATTCTTGATAAAAACACATCAAACCCTTGCCGGAGCTAAATTTAGCGGTTTGGACCCGACCTAAATAATTGACAAAATTCAAGGATTAGAACCAGAGGATTAATGACCTCGTTGCAGGAAGCTCGTATATGAAATTTGGGCTCAATCCGGCTTCCGGATACTCCGAAACCCTAATTTGGCTTATTGGAAATTTCAGAAATTCCTGAACTAAAAACTCGTTTTAAAGCTGTAAATCGATAAACTACAATGTATAAATAAATTAGGCATTACTTACGGGATTTTGGATCACTAGAGCTCAAGAATTTGAGCTTTGGAATTTCTCCCCGAGCTCCCCTGTTCGCTCTGCTCCTCTTCGTCCGTAAAAGGGAGAAGAAGAATTGGATGGGATGTGAATGGAAACGGATGGGTAATATATATATATATATATATATATATATATATGCCGACCGCTTTTATATATATATATATATATATATATGGTGGCCACCTCGGTGCACCTACTTTTTTGGGTGTACTGAATGCACTCACTTAAGGGTTTAATTTTGACCGTTCGATATATCTTGCGGTTGACGATAATTGATAAATTTTCAATAAATTATTAACTAATAAATATATAATTTATTTAAATAATTTATAGTTATTGATAATTACAATTTAGGATCTAACATTAACTCTCTTGAAAATTCAGATTTCTTCCCATCACAACAAATAGTGCCGCTCTCACTCAAAAAGAAGATCGATTGGCCGGCGGCGGCCGCGCAATCTCAGTGTGACGGTGACGCCAACTCTGACAACTGCGAACAAACTTCTTGGTGCCTCCGACAATACACCCCTTGTACAATTCAATGTTGGAGCCAACAAGGAGCAAGAAGGTCCGATGTTCCCCGCTACAGCTGCCGAGTTTCCTCCTCCTCGGCTTCTTCTCACTCAGAGCCACGACCTCAAAGTCCCTCAAACGGTGGGCCCTTTCCACTTCACTGAACTTTATTCCGATTCATTAGCACATTCACCTCCTCCTTCTCCGAGCAAAACCCAATTCCGATTCCCTGACATCATCTGCTACTTCGTCCCCAACACCATCTCCCACATCGAACCCTAAAAGAAGATAAATCAGATAGGTCAATTTCCTCGAACTGAATTTCTCATCACCCAAATTCCTCAGGGCAATCAACAGACCAGGGCATCTTCCTTCTGATTAATAGCGCCAGCTATCAGCTCCGAAAGAAAGCACAAAAAAGAGATATGAGAACAAGATCAATAAAAAAGGGGAATCCAAATTTGAGCTCAATCATCATATCTTCTCCTGATGAGCTGCATGGCTGCGGTAGAAAGCCGGATGTGAGGAGAAAAAGAATTATCAGCAATAGTATTTAATTTGCGTAAGAGAAAGGAGGAGAGAAAGCGATACGAAATTGGGTGGGAAAGAGAATTCCGACGATGGTTTTCGTGATATAAATATTGAGACGGAGTAGTCAGGGTAGCATTTGAGGTCGCCAAAGGTAAGGTTATCGGCGGTGCCGACTAGACCGAGTTCGCAAACGGAACTCTCTGCACAGTTTGAATTGGGGATTATTACTATTGTTCCCTGTATTTATACTTTTATAGGCTGGGCCTCAATTGCTGAAGCACCGGAAACCCATAGCGTCGTTGTTGCTGTTGTTGATGCTGAGAGGCTGCCGGCAATTCAGACTAGAAGTTATTGGCGGAGAATTCTATGGGGAAAGAGTTGAAATCGGAGAAGTAGTTGCGGTGGTATTACTGTCTGCAGGGCGACCCTTTGATGCAAGCGATGGCCGGATTGGTGCGCTGGTGGCGGAGGACGACGATGCAGGCCACTGGAAAAAGTATTGACGGGTAAGAGGGGAAAACAATCGTGGAAGAAGAGGGTTTGGGGTCGAATTGCAATTATTAATAAGTTTAAATAACTTTAATAAATATAATATATTTTATTAGTTAATAATGAATTATAAATAAATTAAATTATCGTAACCGTTAGATGTAATCAATGAATACGATTAAACAGAAAAATGAGTGCGTTCAGTGCACCCAAAAAGTGGGTGTACTTATCCGATATACTTATCCGATCGATTGATAATCCGATTTTCGCCGAAATACTATCAAAACACTCGATTTTAAATCGCGAACTTTTTAGCGATCGAAAATATGGGATTTGCCGGAATGGGATGTTACAATTCTCCCCTCAAAAGATTTCGTCCCCGAAATCTATCCTTGAGTCGATAGTACATATCCGCTCGTTCCCCCCTAATCTACACTATATCAAATCTTGTTACAACCTAACATTTAGGTTATGAGATTCATAACATAGAAAGTAACACATAACACCTCAAGTTCCCATGTTTAGGTTTCAAAACCTATGTTGGGCTATCACAACAAAAGCACATCAACAAGTTCAAAACATAACTTACTAAGCAAGATTGTTAACCTTTAAGTAGGTCGGTACCAACTCAGGGTACTTCTCTCGCATACTTGCTTCAGTCTCCCAGGTAGCACTCTTACTATCTTGATTTCTCCACACAACCTTCAACATTGGAATTTCCTTTCTACGAAGAGTCTTAATATGAAAATCAACAATCTCAACTGGAACCTCCTCAATAGTTAAATCTGGACCCAACTCGATCTCTTCTGGTTGTATAACATGGGAAGGATCCACTTTGTACCTCTTCAGCATACTAACATGAAATACATTGTGGATTTGAGATAGTTCTGGAGGCAATGCCAACTTATAAGCCACTGGTCCAATCTTCTCTGTGATTTCATATGGCCCAATATATCGAGGTTCAAGCTTTCCTTTCTTACCAAATCTCATCACCCCTTTCCATGATGACGCTTTGAGAAATACTTTGTCACCCACTTCGAAATTAACTTCACGCCTACTCGTGTCAACATAAACTTTCTGTCGATCTTGAGCCACCCTCAAACGCTCCCTGATTTCCTTGACCTTATCAACTGTGATCTGAACTATCTCTGGCCCCGAGATTTTCCTTGCTCCTTCTACATCCCAACATAATGGTGTCCTGCATTTCCTCCCATAAAGTGCTTCATAGGGTGGAACACCCAAGCTACTATGGTACTGGTTGTTGTAAGCAAACTCAATTAAGGGAAAATGGTCAATCCATGATTCCTCCCATTGCATTACACATGATCGAAGTAACTCCTCCAAGGTAAGGATGGTTCGTTCACTCTGCCCATCTGTTTGAGGATGATAAGCTGAAGTAAAATGTAATTTAGTTCCCAAGGCATCATGTAAACTTTGCCAAAACAGAGATGTGAAGCTCGGGTCTCGATCAGAGACAATAGAAATTGGCACACCATGCAATCTGACGATCTCCTTAATATATAGTTGAGACAAGGTCTTCAGTGATGGTTTCCATCTAATGTGTAAAATGTGAGCCGATTTGGTCAGTCGGTCCACAATAACCCATACTGCATCTCTCCCCTTGATGATGGGAGACCATATACAAAATCCATTGTGATTCTTTCCCACTTCCATTATGGAATTGGAAGTGGTTGCAGTTTTCCCACAGGAGCTTGATATTCTGCCTTAACTTTCTGACATACCAGACATGTGAAAACATGTTCAGCTGCTTCCTTTTTCATCCCACGCCACCAAAAATATGGTTTGATCGTGTGATACATTTTAGTTGCTCCTGGGTGCATAGCATAAGCAGAAGAATCAGCTTCATCTAGAATCTCTTTCCTCAAGTTATCAACATTAGGAACACATGCTCTTCCATTTATCTTCAACATGCCATCTACCATTTTAAATGGGCTTTCTTTTCCTTCCTCAATGTCTTGAATGATTTTTACCAACTCTGAGTCCTCCTTCTGCTTCTCACGAATTTTTTCGTGCAACAAAGGTCGAATGTTCAACCGAGCTAGTAACCCTGTTACACCATCCACTTCCAAATCAACATTCATTGCCCTCAAATCAACCAGATTCGTTATATTCTTCTTGCCTTTTCTGCTCAGAGCATCAGCAACTACATTAGCTTTACCTGGATGGTAATCAATTGTAAAATCATAATCTTTTAGAAGTTCAATCCATCTCCTCTGGCGACTATTTAAATCGTTCTGATCCATAATATACTTTAGGCTTTTGTTATCAGTTAGGACTTTAAAAGTCTCACCATACAAATAATGTCGCCAAATCTTGAGAGCAAATACCACCGCTGCCAATTCTAAGTCATGAGTGGGATAATTTACTTCATGAGGACGCAATTGCCTAGAGGCATATGCGATAACTCTTCCATCTTGCATTTACACACAACCCAATCCTTGATACGAGGCATCACTATACACCACGAACTCTCCATGGTTTGAAGGTAATGCAAGTACTGGTGCTGTGGTCAATTTCTTCTTCAGTTCATCAAAACTCTTTTGACATGATTCATCCCAAACATACTTGGTATTCTTCGTCAACAGTTTAGTCAATGGTGCAGCAATTTTAGAAAATCCTTCTACGAACCGCCGATAGTAACCCGCCATGCCAAGAAAACTTCTCAACTCCGACACATCTTTTGGTGGAAACCAATTCACCACTGCTTCCACCTTTTTTCGGATCCACCTCCACTCCTCTTCCAGAAATTACATGTCCCAAAAATATTACTTCCTTCAACCAAAACTCACATTTTGAGAATTTTTCATATAATTGTTTCTCTCTTAGAATTTGCAACACAATTCTAAGGTGAGTTTTGTGCTCTTCTTCATTTTTAGAATAGATGAGAATATCATCTATGAACACAATCACAAACTTATCATGATATTCATGGAAAACTCTGTTCATAAGAGCCATAAATACCGTTGTTCGCTCTGCTCCTCTCGGTTTGTAAAAGGGAGAAGAAGAATTGGATGGGATGGGGATGGAAATGGAAATGGATGGGTAATATATATATGCCGACAGCTGGACTGAACCAGCTGTACTTTTTTTGTTTTAATTAGATTAATTAAAAAAGAGTGCATGATCCTGCGAATTACTTCTAAACAATTTAAGAACCATAGCATTTCGCGATTCATTGGTAAATAGACTTTGACTCTCTATCAACCACTAACATGGCACCATTTCATTAACATGGTTAAAACTAAACCGTTTGAAATCCAGACGCAGCAAGAACAAGGTGATGTACTCTTTCTACTTATATATTAATTATATTAATACATAAATGGGCTCAATAATTGAAAATTGTGTTCGGTATAGAACACTCATGGTGAAAACGAAAAAAATATAATATTATATAATATAATATTGTATATATTATATAATATAATATATATAATATAATATTATATATATAATATAATATTATATATATAATTAATATGTATACTTATCCGATCGATCAATAATGCGATTATTCTGATTTTTGCCGAAATACTATCAAAACGCTCAATTTTAAATCGCGAACTTTCTAGCGATAAAAAATATGGGATTTGCCGGAACGGGATGTTACACTGACCCCACCAAAATCTCGTGATAAGGCCATGAATATCATCAATTACGCCATCTGGGAGCCAAAATACCGACATCGTATATGTTAGCTGAGCTTGGGCCACTGATTTTATGAGAACTTCCCAAGCTGCCACTGACATCACCCGCTCCTTCTAGCCCGCTAGCTTCTTCCTTATCCGTTCTTTAAGATAGGTAAATAATTCTTTCTTCGACCTGCCAACCTCAGTAACTAAACCCGAATATTTGTTGTGCTTCTCCACTGTCTGCATACCCAAGGTCAAGCTCACCAGAAGCCTCTGATGGGTCTTCACATTCCCGCAAAAAGAGACCTCCGAATTGTCCAAATTTACGAGCTGCCCAGATTCAACTTCATAGGCCTTCAAGATTCTGCGCAGCTCCATGCTTTCCTAAAAAGTGGCCCTGACAAAAACTAAAGCATCGTCAGCGAAAAAAAAGGTGTGAGATCACCGGTGCTCCTCGAGCCACCGAAATCCCATGGATCCTCCTCTCCAGGACCGCTTTCTCTGTATACGAGCTCAATCCCTCCGCCACTGGTAAAAACAAGTATGGGGAGAGTGGATCTCCTTGTCGTAGCCCCCTGCTTGGCGTAAACCGCTCTGATCTGTGGCCATTAACTAATACTGACCGATTGGACACACATAATTATGAGTTTAATCCAACTTTCCTCGAAACCCATTCTTCTCATAACTCCTTCCAAAATCCACCATTCTACTCGATCAAAGGCTTTTGCCATGTCTGTTTTCGCTGCCACGAAACCTTTGTTATTCTTGGACTTTACTTTCATCGCGTGGAAACACTCGATAGTTGTCATCACGTTATCTACTATGAAGCGCCCTGGCACGAAAGCACTTTGTTCCAGAGAGATAATTTCATTGAGCAGTACTTTCAACCGATTTGCTAGTACCTTTTCCAAGATCTTATACATAACGTTGCATAAGCTTATTTGGCAAAAATCCTTAACCATCAATGGTTCCTTGACTTTTGGGATAAGAGCAATGAACGTATGGTTAAGGCCCTCATGGATTTCTCCTCGATCGACTATCTGCAATAAAGCATTTGTGACCTCGTCACCAGTAATACTTCAAAATCTGATGAAGAACAAGACCGATAAGCCATCCGCACCCGGGGCCTTCCTTCTCCCCATCTGTTTTAAGGCCTCGAAAATCTCTTCCCGGGTCACTGACTTTACTAAGTATGTGTTTGCCTCCTCTGAAACCCTCCTGCCTATAGAGTCCAGCACCGGAATCACGGCGGGACGCTCACCAGCTATGAAAAGCTTTTTGAAATAGCTTATTAGACAGCTTGTAGGTCGTTCTTGCCCCGCCCACCAGATTCCCGCCTCGTCCTTCAGCTTGCGTATTGTGTTCCGTTTCCTATGTGCTGAGGATTTCCTGTGGAAATAATTCGTATTTTTGTCTCCGTCTCGCAACCAATCCGCACGAGAGCGTTGCTTCCAAAATATTTCCTCATCGCATTCTACATCTTCCAGCTCAGCTCGGTGTTTCTCGCGTTGATCAAGTACTATCTCTATTTGCTCTACTCTTTCCAACGCTTTCAAAGCTCGCTGTATCTTGGCTTTCTGTCTTCGAAAGTTTGGGATAGAGACTTGACTCTAGTTGTCAAGTTTGGTACTAACCTATCCAAACTTGCTATAAATGTCACCCGTTCCAGAGCTCCACACCTCCTCTATCATTTGCTTGCATCTGTCATATCTTAACCAATGAGGTTCGAACCGAAAAGACCACCCTCATTTCACCTCCTCATCTTCCTCTCCTATGATTCACACAAAATAGGCTGGTGATCAGATCGGGTACTGCCTAAGTGTGAGACTCGAGCATTCGGCCACATTTTCCGCCACCCCTCATTAGCAAGAAACCGATCCAATCGTTCTTCAATGTACCCTCCACTTCTTCTTCTATTCTCCCAGGTGTACGGATAACCAGAAAAACCCATGTCCTGCAACCCCACGTCCACTAAGCAATCCGAGAACGCCCTCATTTCCTCCTCAGCTACAAGGTTCCCTCCCTTTTTCTCAAAATCTGACAGCACCTGATTCAGGTCTCCCCCACATAGCCAAGGACCTGTCCATTGCTCGGCGAGTTGGCGAAGCAAATGCCACGTACGTTCTTTCTCGATCCCTTCAGGCCAGCCATACACCCCCGTAAAACGCCACTCTCCAGCCAGCTCGTCGACCACTTTGTCATCAATGTGGTGTTGTGAATGATCCATCACCGTAATTTGAACCTCATCATTCCACCAAATACTCAAACCTCCTGCTCGTCCTCCATTCGAGGTATCTGTGGGCCAACTTTTCCCGTTTTTGTATCCTATCTCCAACCTTGTTTTTTCATTCTCATCACAAAGCTGACATGTCTCCATCAGAAACATGACATGTGGGAAAGCTTGTCGCAGGAGCGACTTAAGAGATCTAACTGCTCGCATACTTCCCAAACCGCGACAGTTATAGCACAAGAGCTTCATCTGGCGACTGAAGGGGATCGGTTCCCCGCACCCTCAGCATTAATCGGTAACTTGGACCCTTTTACATTCTTACCTGCGCCCTCGGAAAAACCTGGGCTCTTCCCTTGATTGGCAACCTTTTCACCCATTCCCCTCAACCTCCCCATCTCAGCCTTTCCTATTGTCACTTTCTGCGGGACCTGATCGGTAGGTTTCCTAGCTTTGGCCTCCGCTATATAGCGTCCCCCTTTGTTGTTATTCTTCACTTCTTGACTATCCTTCTGCTTCTTTGTACCCCTCTCCTTCTTGCTTTCAGCACTAGTTTACTCTCCACTCGTGCCCCCTCTCCCACCATGTGCCTCCTTAACCATCGACTCCTCCCTATTGTCCGTCCTGTCTGCCGAGTCTGCCCCATGATCACTTGCATCAAGAGCATCAGCATCAGGCTCGACGTCACCATGATCTGCATGGAGTGCATGGAAACGGTTACTTTTATCTGCCACCTGTATTTTCTGCATCGAAGTCCCTTTCCGCCGACCCAACTTCCATTCCCTTCTTCTTACAACCATCCACTCTCCATAAGTTCTGCCCCTCGTTGGATCATCAGCTTCCACACCAGTCTCTTCATTTTCGTTATCAGGGCTCTCCTGTGCCATCTCATGACACTGGCATGCATCTGAAGCCTTGCCATACTTCCCACAGTCAGTACATACATTCTCCAACCCCTCATATTGGATTAAATAGGTTATCCCTTCAATCTTATACTGCGATAAAAGGGGCTTCGTCAAGTCAACTTCCACACAGACTCTACCATACTTCCCTCGTGCTCCCAACTCTGTTGCCATGTCCACCCTTATCGGCCGGCCAATGGCCTCCGCTATGCGCATTACGGCCTCTTTATTTACAAATTCGATAGGTAGCTCTGGTAGTTGGACCCATACCATTGTCGACTTCACAGTTGATTTCCACGTATTGAAACCCTTGTACCACCTGTGAACTGTCAGGAATGTATGCCCTAGAAGCCAGGGTCCCCCCATCGTCACATTATCATAGTCTTTTGATTTTGAAACCATACTAGAAAACAACCATTCTTCATATAAAAAATCTGAAGCTCCCCATGTCGGCCCTATAGGTAGTTCAATCATTTCACTAAAGGGACATATGCAACTCTTCTACCTAATCCTTTGACGACCAAAGCCGATCGCCATTCCTGGTGCCATTTAGCTTTCTCGGCGGCCGTATAGCAGATTATAGGGCATCTGGGGTCCTCCGTCTCATCATCCACGACATCATCTTCTTCTTTCTCCCTCTGCACCACATCCTCAGTATCAGAGTCTTCTACGTACCATTGATCATATTTCAGAATATCACTGAATAGGGGTCTCATCCCAGCTGTCCACCCTTTCAACTCTAGCTTACCTGCCAGCTCCGTCTCCATCTCCTTCTCCGTAATATCCTCAACTTCAACAGCTCCGGACGTAAAGTCCAAAGCCCTAGCACGTTTCTTAGCTTGTGTTGCCTCCTTTTGCAGCTTTTCTGTTCGGTGAAGAGGAGGCTTCGGCTGGACGCCAGGTACCCCTAGCTAGGTCACGGGGCTTCTCTTTCTCAGCCGACGCCGCCGTCGGCGCCACCGCCGCCATGACAGAAATGAAACCCTAGTGTATTCGCCTCTTTTAGGTTTTCCTCCGAGAAGTTCGGTCGCTTTTTCTGTTAGGGTCAGAGCACCTTTTGCCTGGCCACCATGAAAGGCGTCCCCGTCTCCAAAACATGGAATGGCATGCACTTGAGAAAGTACTATATAGATGCGCTCTGAGGTACTCCTTGTCCAAGCAATGACATTTTTAATGGATAGGGCAACACACCCACCACTTGTAATAGTGTATCGGTCGCTACTAAGCAGCCACTTTTTCTCAAGTAATACACTTACATCTTTCGGCCAAGTTCTCTACACCAATGACTTTTGTCTCCTTTCTCTTTCGATCGGTTAATATGAAAACACGTAGAATTCATGAAGAATAAATCCGCTCCAACGTGGTCAACAACATGCTGAACACACAGCTTAGAAAATTTTGAAACATGCAGCAACATAAACCCGTTGCAACGCGGTTGCAAAAAATTGTTCACATAACATTCACATCATAAGACTAAAATCGAAAACCCACTCCAACGCAGCTGCAAGAAATCGTTCACATAACAATGGCATCATAAAACGAAAGGCAAAATGTTCGGGGCACCCCGACCCGCCACATCATAACACAACTTGCAAAGAGTAGTAGGGAGCGGTCTCAAACACTCTGAGAACCCCCTACTCCCCTCTCCACCTTCTTCACCGGATGCTTTTTCATATCTCGCCTCGTCCTCCACCTCCGAATCATCGGCCTCCGAGTTCACGTCGGAGGAAGATCAATGGTCGATCGCGTCCCAAACACGGTATGTGTCACAGACCACATTAGGGCTCTCTCCGAAGAACAAGTGACAAATGACGGCCACCACGTTGCCAACAACCTCCTTGTACTTCTCCTTGTCATAATCAAGGAACGCAGCGGACTTCAAGTAGGCAGGACTGGCTTTGTCTCAGACAGTGGCCACCTCCACCTTGCGGTTTGCCAGTAAAGACGCCTTCTCCAACTTAAGAGCGTCTACCTCCTTGCGAACCACCTTGGCCAGTTCCTTCTCGTCTAGCAAGTCTTGATCCTTTCCAGCTAACCGCTCTGCGAAGCTCTACTCAATCTCCGGCCGCAAATCTTCCGTCAACGCTTATCGTCCCTCACTGAAGCTCTTCTTGAGGTTCACTATCTCGACTGTGTTGTCATCAACAGTCTTAGACAGGGGGTCGTTCAGCAAGATTATTTGTGAAAACCTGATCTAAGCCTAAAACACAAACACTCAATCAATTGGGAGAACGACTAAAGTCGCAGAACAACTAAAAAGATTGAAGACGCTAATCGCAAAGAAGAACTGTGAGGCGGTCCCTGCAAGACGACGGTTGCTCTTGTGAGAAGTGGCGGTATACTCGTTGGGCATCACAAGCTACTCGCTGATAGTGTGGAATGCCAACTCAGCAGCCTCCGTATCAGTTGCGGCCAAAGGAGGCACGACCACAGAGCCTGGCACGTCCGACCACTGTGTGCTCTTACCATGCTTATCCCCGGCCTTAGAACGGGGAGAGCTAATCTTCGCATGCTTCACGACTGTCTCAGGAGTGCCATGCTCCAATATCCTTTTCCCTGCAACCGCGTAAGGGGAATCGAGGTCGCAGCGGCAGCACCAAGCGTCTCCACAGTCAATGGTGCTTGCGTAACCGCAAACGCATCAGCCATGGCAACCGCATCCGACGAGGCCGGACGCACCTCCCCCTCAGGCGGTCTTCCCGACCTTCTTTTTTCCTCGGTCTGTTCGCGTATGCCAACTCTCTCAAGCCTGGACAAAGAAAGTATAAGTAAAAACACATGAGAAAGATAAGCACGAAAGTAAAGAAAATACATCACTAACCATAAAAACCACGAACAAGCTGGTATGCACTGTTAGGACCGCTGTGTCGCACATGCAGCTGAACGCCCTCCAAAATGCGGGCTACGTGGTCCCGCACCAACTACAAAAACTTACTGGAGTCATACTAGTTGTCCTTTGAACCTGTCGCATAGCCCGTCAGCGACTCGGTATCACCCGCATACCACTTCCACGAGGGACCTGCGAAAAAATACTCCTTATACCACGGTGATTCCAGCTTGGGCTCTCCCGTAACAAAACAAACTGAATTCTCCCTCCTCCCAATCGACCAACAATTGGTCGAGTCTCGGATATTGTAGATCATCTTGACGCTTCGAAAGAAGGATCTTCCTTAAGGCGGTCACACGCAAGGCGGTACATGACCGAAAGAAAGATAATAGTCGGCGAGAGCCGCCCAAGAGTACATTGTAGTCAGTGCAAGACCTTCATCGGGATGGGTTTGAGATCTAACCGTAGCCCAAGCTTGACATGCTCGACAAGGATAGGGATACAACCGCTGGGGCAAGATCCAGAACGCCTCCGGGGGCATCCGCAGCGACATAAGGCGGTAAAGCACCTGCTCGGGCTTGAAGGCCACCTCATGAGGAGTTCCTTGATAAAAAAAACTCCGGAGGAATGGGCTCGCCATTCCACATACCCGCATGACGCAAAACTGTGTACACCAAATCCTCGATAGCAAGCGGAAGCGATCTCGGTTCCCCTAGCTCCAAAATCTCCAAAGAAGAGGAGGTGCTAGGAGGCGCTTCCAAGCGCACCCCATTACTGCCAACCTTGTCATCCTCTTCCAACGACACACTATCTAAGTCTACCCGCTCAAAGTCACCCAAGTTATCCCCCACAGCTGAAGACATGGCCATAACCCCAGCTGGTACAGGGCGCATGTTAGCACAATAGTTATATAAGTCTACACATACCCCGACAAGACAATCGTTCAATTCAGAGCCATTTCCAACGTATAATTCAAGCCCTGATAAATCCCACACACACTCAGATGTGTTTCGAATGGGAGAGGAGCAGGTCATACCTTGCAAAGCGCGGGCGGTTTCGACGGAGGTTCCTGCAGTTTTCTTCCCAGAAGCCCGAGAAGTCGATAGCACAACCAAACTTGAGGGATCTTTCTCCAGGTCAATCGTCGGAGCAGGATCGGCGGCAGGAGCATTCCCGATGGTGGCGGCATCGCGTTCACCCACGTCGGCTGGTGGTGGTGGATTTCCGCCTGACATTTGAGAACTGAGATGAAACCGTCGGCCGTCGTCCCCGAAACACAGAGAAGATGATACGATCCCAAACGTTGAAGAAAGAATGGCGTTCGCAGGAAAAAGATCGAAGCGAGAAAAGTTAGAAAAGAAAGAAGGAAACGCACACCGCAAACACTAAACAAACGAAACCAAAGATCATACCTGGTAAGACGATCGGATTTGATAGGAGTCGGCGGCAGCAAGCTCTGATCGCTCGCAGAGAAAAGGAAGAGGAAGAAGACGAGCCCTTTCCAAAACAAGGAAGAGTTTTGGCGGAAAAAATCTTTCTCAAGATCACATAAAGCAAAAAAAAAGGAAGTTCAAAATCCCGAAGTGACGTGTCTCAAGTCCCGAGATTCAAAAACTCCAGAGGTGACGTTTCGTCTGCCGCTGTCAGGGCTCCACGCTCGATACACAACACGTGGCAGCAGCGGGGCAGCAAACCCGCACGACATCGCGTCACCCCTCAGGCATTCTTCGCTCCATGTCTTCGTGACTAGGGACAAATGGATAATCATGTGTAAAGCGGTCCGTAGCCGCTCGAGTATAGCAACATGGACATAGCGGTCCGTAACCGCTCAATGATCGCAAAATGAATTAGTTAGACGCGAAAACCTAAAACTTCTCACGCCTAAGGGGCAAATGTTGTGCCAAACATTGAGACACACGGTCCGCAAGTCCAAGGTCACTAAAAGCCCACGTAAAAACAAACCAAGCCCAAAACAGAGACCCCTCCCAGATGCGGTCTCGACATGTCCCGTAAAAGACCGCCCGACATTCACACATACGAACACCTAGAAGACCGCCCGACATATGGGTCGAACAGGCTCTTGACCTCCTATTACGGAGACTGACAAAGATACATTAACAAAGTCGGAGGCGTCCCCGAGCGCCCGACTGGCCATTAAATGCACACACCTCAAGAGGCCACATTTATGCTGACTTCTATCTACCACATTCTCTCTCTTATTTACAACTCATTTACTTCTCTCTCTAACTTAGACATCGGAAGAGGTCCTAGGATTCCCCTGAGTACCTTTCTTGTAGGGTTTCGGAGACCGCCCCCGACGATCGAAAGCCGCTCGAAGCCAGTGAAGTCTCACAAAACCGCCTGGTACGATCCAGGCTAGGGGTGACAATCGGTCGGTGACCGGTGGGCGACTTTACCAGTAAACGGTATGTCGAGTGTGGGCAAGAGGTAATTGATTACCTGTACCGGTTTACCGGTTACCACTTACCGGTAAATGGTTACTAATCGGTGTTACCAACTTACCTTAAGGAGTAGATGCGGACGATTTTTCGGTTTGGTTTACCGAAAAATTATCGAACCTAATTTCTGGGCAGTGGGGGCAGGTTGTAATATTTTGATTTTTCTGAATTTTTTTCTTCATTTTTGAAATTAATAATTTATTATTAAATTTTAGTTATAATATTTTTGAGGCCTATACTTACTTCCATTCATGTATGTAATATTTGTGAATAATGAAGTATATGTTATATGTTAATGCCTTAACTTAATATTTGGCAAACTCAAAATTGCTATCTATTAGTCTATTTAATTTAACATAAGTTCAAAGGGTCAACAATCATGATTCATGAATCAACATCAACTCTCATCAAGCATCATCATTCATCAAATATTCAAATTCATCAAACGACAATTCGACAAACATCGTCAAATTCAAAGGGATAACAAGTCAACAATCAACATAAATACATAATCATCATTCGTCAATCAACTAAAGTGCCCAATGATAATGTCTAAATTCAACACAAGTTCAAAGTCCAAACTTAAAAATTAAAATAGACAACCAAATAACCAATAGCTCATGATCCTCCTTCTCTAGTAGAACTTGTAGCACCACCAACATTTGCACAACCTTGCTGCTTCAAATTCCTGAGAAGAGTATCATCGGGATCATCATCTGCATCTTGGTTCATGTCTTCGTCGGACTCTGTGGATTCTTCATCATCACCCTCCTCCTCCTCCTCCTCCTCATCAACCCTAACAGGTAAGCTATGTGCTCCACTTGGGATGTCACTTGCAGTTTCCACTCGAGATTGAAAAGTATTAGTAACTAGTGCAAATAAAATACACAAATGTTAGTATGTTACTAATGGAATGGTTTAAATTTTAAATAGTAAAGAGTATAGAAAAATTAGAATAATAAATTTAAATCTTACCACTTTCATAATCGATTGTCTCTTGATCTTCTTCCTTATCATTCATCTCATCTGCAGTCTTTCCACTTTCATTTCTTATCCAATCTTCAGCACAAATCAATGCCTCTACAATGTTTGGGCTCAAAGAAGACCTGAAAGGACTAAGAACTCGACCTCCACAACTGAAAGCGGACTCCAATGCAATATAGGAGACTTGAACTGCTAATATATCCCTAACATCTCTGAAAGAATGGGATATCTAACATTATTCCGAGCCCACCACTTCAGAATGTCAAACTTCTGATCATCAATCTCCTCATTAATAGCATCACCAACATCTCTCAAATAGGACTCCAACTCACCAGAACCTCGCCCCCCCCCCCCTCTCAATTTGCTCCTTTCTCTTCTACTAGAACCGAGCTTCAAATGCTCCTCCCATAGCAACAACAGATCCGTCACTAGTCTCAATAGGAGTAGTAGTCTGAGTAGTAGGCATAGAATCAGAGGGTGGATTTGCATACTTCATCTTGTAGACCTCGTACAATGCAATCATCTCCTTCTTTACTTCATCTGCCAAAGCTCCCACTTTTGAGATCACATAAATTTCTTCCAACATCATAGTCAAATAGTCTAGCTTACGCCTGGGATCTAGCACACAGGCCATGTAAACTATCCTGTTTATCCTAAGGTTACGCATGGGATCTAGCACACAGGCCATGTAAAACTATCTTATTTATCCTAAGGTTATCCTCCTCGTCATCAACATCATTTTCAAACCAATACTTTCTCACCTTTGCCTCTATTCTTTTTGCTATTCTTTGTAGTTGTCCATTTGCATCTTTCTTCAATGTTGCTATCACTTCATGAATATCCACAATGGCTTTGTAGAAAGTATGTGCAGTGACATATGATGTTCCTGATACAAAGTAAAACTTATCGAACATTAGTATAAATAATATAACTCATAATCATTCAATTCAATTCAATTTTAAAATTTGATAGTTATTAGTTCATATACCTGATACACGAAGAGTAAGCTCATAAAAGAACTTCGGGTACCTCATGAGCCGCCTAATACTTCAGTAGGACTAGCATACAAGAACTTAAAAACCTACTACCTCCTCCACGGCTGCCAGCAGAAGGTTTCGTCCTACAAAAAACAACAAAATGAACACATAAATTTCCTAAACAACCATTCAACACAATCTCAATTCACTTCAATCAATTCACTGGCAATTTCTCATCTATTAGTCAATAGTCAATTCAGTTCAATCAACCTCAATTCAATTACTCAATCATCTTCCATCAATTCAATACAACACATAAATGATAAATTTCCATCTAGCAAATCCAATAGTCAATTCAATATTTCAATTAACATACAAGATTTGATTTTCTTGGCCTCAATGCCAATGGCATATTGGTTATTGCTGCCTCGGCACTCGGCAGCCTGCTGCTGTCCAAAACTCCAAGGAACAAGGTTGTAAGGGAACTAGGGAAGGGAGACTGGGAGAGGCAGCCTGGAGGAGCCGAGCAGGTGGGCAGGTGGCGGCCTGGCGGAGGAGGACTGGTGGAGGAAGGTGGCGGTCCTAGCGGTGGTGGAGGAGGAATGGCAGAGGAGGACTGGCGGGAAGGTGGCGCCATGGCGATCAGGTGGAGGACGGGAGGAGGACTGGGTATGGGAGGCTGGCGTCGGCGAAGGAAGGAGGAAGTCAGAAGGGACACTCCTCACTCGTCATCGTCACTCCTCACTCGTCGCCATCTGGGTTTCGAAGAGGGAGGGGGTTCTGCGGTGCCAGCGACAAGGCTAGGTCTCATCTCGTCGGTCGAGACTCAAGACAGGCGAGAAGACATCCGAGAAGCGTAGTCGCAGAGAAGAGAAGGAGAGGCGGGGAACGAAGACAAAAACGCGATACGCAGCATTTGCGAAGGGCGAGGCCTAAGAATGGGTCGTTTTGTTTTTAGGGTTTCCAGGCTGGGGCGGTAAAACGCAGCGTCCTAGTATCAGTAATACCGACTTATCGTCGGTATTTACCGAGACTGGGGCCGTTAAATTGGATTTCCTCAATTAACCCTCGGATACCGATACAACCGGTAATCGGTTTATCATTTACCACCTATTTACGGTTCGGTAAAACGGTAAACCGATTATCAGGTTACCATTTGTCAGCCCTATTCCAGGAACAAACAACAACTCAATCTCGAAACAAGTCCCAATAAAAAGAGTTAATAAAGAACATGCCCACAAGATAACACTTCTAAAATATTTTCCAAAATAACAATTTTTGGGGTGCAGCAAGTCCAACAAACTATAAAGGGGATTATGGGAGAGATTAGCGAACCGTGGGAAGATCGCTATGCTTGTAAATGATTCACGGGTTCACGTAGGAGCTACGCAATTGTGGAGACCCAACGACATAGATTGTTGGAGCTTGTCACGATGCATGACATGTGGCACTTGATCGCATTGTTGGGGAGCGATCCACACAGTTTCATGCTTATTGGTCCATTTCCACCTACGCGGATCAGTGACACTGGGAGCGGACAATCATAGATCGTCTTCCTCTGTCGGGATATGCTTGTTTTTCTTAGAATTGAAGGAAACCACTCCCCCAGAAAAACCTATAAATAACTAATTGCACCCCCCCCCTTTATATGATCCCAAATTTCCCATGATTCACGTCACAATTACTTGACAAAGAAGCTATCAAAGTTGGGAAGAAGAAAGGCAGAATTTGGCTAAGTCAAAATCCGTGTTTAGGGTACATAGTTTGGAGGCATGGTTCTCTCAATTGGCTTGGTGGAAATTCAATTTTAAGGGTTTGTTTTGCAGATAAAGTTACCATCTTTCTAATGGTATGCTTTATGGATCCAGAAGATGTCATTAAGGTTGTTATCCAAGTCCTCAAAGTTGCTACCTTAAAACTGGAAAACTGCCAGAAAATGGCCAAGGCAGAAAACTGTTTTGTGAAGCCTACTTTGGAGCTCAATTCGAGGAGTATGGATCTGATTCAAGTCCAAAGGCTTCCACAAAATGAAACTAGGTATGTTTTTGAACAAAGAGAAGGAATTGGATGAAGAATTGGAGTTCGGGAAGGCTTCGAACAAAAGGCGCGAAGTTAGTACGAAAGCTGCTTTTGGACTGTTTGCTGGCACCTTACTTGCGCTTGAAGAAAAGGAGTTTAAACCCGAATTTTGTGTCCTTTTTAGTGTATAATTTTACCTTAATTGTTTCCTAGTTATACTATGATTGTATTAGGTTTTATTTGCCTTTAAATACCGTTCTATTTCGTTGTAAAATTAAGACTTTGTTGAATAGAAAAGAAACCGTTTGGTTTGTGCAAGTTGCGACTTGTTTTGGGTTCGGTGGATTCCAAACTTTCTGAGCTTGTGTATCGATTGAATAGTCACTTCAATCGTGGTCGAGCAACTACCCTCTTATACCAATCGAGCTATCCCCAGGTGTGGATTTGTCCTTTTGGTTCCGCTTTATCCAAGTTCGTATTAAGAACGCTTCGTTCTTCGATTGAGTCGTTAGCTGCGTGGCTTTGATAACATAGGCCCCCCCCAGGGGCTTATTAAGTGGTATCAGAGCCCCGTTCAAGTCAGGGCGAGAAAGGAGGCTGTGTTTCGTGCGATTTTGCAGCCGCAAAAACAAAGAAAAAAAAAACAGGATCGATGGCAGCAGAGGAGCTAGCAGAATCGATGTTCTTCACTCGTTGTTTAATCCAGGATCAGCTGGGTTTGGTTCTCGTTGATGCAGGCAGGGAGAGGAATTTGATTTCCTTAAGGGTCGTGAGCAAGCTAGGGCTGCAAACACAACTGCATCCGAAACCATACGTATTCCAATCACCGTATGAAAACAAATTCAACATTATAGTGACTCAGGTGGCCGTGACATTCTCGATTGGCCAATACGAGGATCAAGTGCTTTGCGATGTAATCTATAATCTCCCCAGAAGCATCGTATTGGGACAGCCGTGGTTTCATGATCGACAAGTTCGGCTTGCAAGCCGAAGCAAAAAAATTCGCCTGCAGAATGGAAACAAGGTGATCGTTTTGATTCCTTTGGCTCCAGACGCAGCTGCCGAAGACCTGAAGGTGATGCAGCGACTCCAAGAAGCGTACCAGTCGTCATTGGTAGCCAAGGCGTTGTCGATGGGAGGCAAATCCGCCCAGACTCTTCTCGGCAATAAAAGTCCCTGTTTTGCGCCGCCGAAACAGAGTCTCGACTCCGGACGACTTTCCGGCGATGAAGAATCGCATACGATGCACGACGGTGGACCAGACGCATCTCTAGAGGTGGAAGGAAGTATGGAAGAGCGAGGAGATGGCCTGGAGCTAGCTGCCGACGCGAAAATCTCGCTGGTGAGGAGAGCAGAGTTCCCCGACTCTGTTTTTTCTTCGGAAAAACAGAGCGTCCCGGCGGCCCTATTGGGTGGAACAACCGGCGACGAGTCGAAGCCGGTCACTGATGCCGAAACATTCACTCAGAACCCAGAAACGTCAGGTGTTGTTTCATTGGAGACGATCACATCCGAAATTGAAGAATCGAATTGCGCAAAGACCCCCCTGTTCGTGAAAAACGACGCGTAGAAAAAGTGCGAATGGGTTAGGGAGACTGGGCACGATTCGACGAAAACGAATGCCTCAGAATCATCACAGGAGCACCCAGGAAGCTGTATGAGCGATCAATTGGTCACGACCATGCTTGAATCACAAACGCCCAATTTCCCATTGGAAAATCTGCGTTTCGAAAATTTGAAAGGGGTTGGCGAGTTTGGAGACAATTCGATCCAAACAGATGTTGTGGAATCATCGGAGAAGATCCTAGGAAGATATTGGGATGATCAATTGGATCTGGGATTGATCGAGATGGAAACGCGCAACATGGGTTTCCAGAAATTGAAAGGAGTCTTTGGCGGGACGAGGCAAAGTGACGAGTTGACGACGATGGTGATGATTCGAGCTAGGAGAAGGGTCCAGAATTACAATTGGACGCCTGGAGATTCGTGTGGAGTAGGTGAATTGGAGTGGGGATGCCTCAATTCAAAACCCCCAATTCGTTCAAGCAAAAACATGTACGAAAGTTTCGTCAAACTACCCGGGAATTGTTCTGATCAATTTTCCGTAAAATTGAACGACGGGGGAGAGTTATTTCGAGCCCAGGGAGAGTGCCCAACTGGTATGCAAGTTTCAAAGTCCCTGGAAGAGATTGGAGATGCATTTGCAGGTGTCAACTTTCTGCTGAAAAAGATGATCGAGCAGCTCTCTTTCGATTCAATTTGGGATCAATTCTGTGAACGGTTTGAGCAACGAAAGGCTTAAGTGTTGAGGGCAACACTTTTTCAAGAGGGAGGGCCTGATATGTTCCCAAATTGCCCACAATTCACGTCACAATTACTTGACAAAGAAGCTATCAAAGTTGGGAAGAAGAAAGGCAGAATTTGGCTGTCAAAATCCGTGTTTAGGGTACATACTTTGGAGGCATGGTTCTCTCAATTGGCTTAGTGGAAATTCAATTTTAAGGGTTTTTTTTGCAGATAAAGTTACCATCTTTCTAATGGTATGCTTTATGGATCCAGAAGATGTCATTAAGGTTGTTATCCAAGTCCTCAAAGTTGCTACCATAAAACTGGAAAACTGCCAGAAAATGGCCAAGGCAGAAAACTGTTTTGTGAAGCCTACTTTGGAGCTCAATTCGAGGAGTATGGATCTGATTCAAGTCCAAAGGCTTCCACAAAATGAAACTAGGTATGTTTGTGAACAAAGAGAAGGAATTGGATGAAGAATTGGAGTTCGGGAAGGCCTCGAACAAAAGGCGTGAAGTTAGTACGAAAGCTGCTTTTGGACTGTTTGCTGGCAGCTTACTTGCGCTTGAAGAAAAGGAGTTTAAACCCGAATTTTGTGTCCTTTTTAGTGTATAATTTTACCTTAATTGTTTCCTAGTTATACTATGATTGTATTAGGTTTTATTTGCCTTCAAATACCGTTCTATTTCGTTGTAAAATTAAGACTTTGTTGAATAGAAAAGAAACCGTTTGGTTTGTGCAAGTTGCGACTTGTTTTGGGTTTGGTGGATTCCAAACTTGCTGAGCTTGTGTATCGTTTGAATAGTCACTTCAATCGTGGTCGAGCAACTACCCTCTTATACCAATCGAGCTATCCCCAGGTGTGGATTTGTCCTTTTGGTTCCGCTTTATCCAAGTTCGTATTAAGAACGCTTCGTTCTTGATTCGAGCTCAATCGATTCTTCGATTGAGTCGTTAGCTGCGTGACTTTGATAACATACACGCCTTCCACCTTAGAGAGAGAGAGAGATTATCACATTAACGGATGTCGTAGCGCTCATCCATCTGCCAATCAATGGAGAACTCATAACCACGAGTTTGAAGAAATAATGAATGGTTGGGCCCATTGATAAGTTACTGTTTAGGCATCAATGTCCCAACGACAGTACGAGAAGGACGTTAGAAACCACCACTGGACCAGTCTATTTGTTGAACCCTTTGCTAATGAGGCACATTAATGTGTTGGGGAGGATGGCACAAACAAGCAGGTTGAGAGGTATACTCGCATATAGATATATGCATTGCATGTGAATCTCACTACAATTGCGAGATTGGAACGAGATGAGACCAAAA